CAGGAAAATTTTCCAGATTCAGGAAAAAAACAGGGTGTTGAGGGGTACCAGATCTGATTTGCTAGGGTTTTGTTTTTGGCATATCCTAAAATTTCAGGGTTTTTTTGTAAGGGATATCTGTCAGGTCAGTTTTTTTTTGTAATGGATCCTGAAATTTCATACTTGTATCGAGCATGGGTTCTGATATTGTCAAAGGCGTGATTCGCGGGTCCCCTCCAGAATTACAGCGATATGCGCATATTCCCCTACAAAAGTGGCCTAACTGCCAGGTTCCCGCCTGCAGACATCGTTTGCTGAGTCACATGTTGCAGCGCTGCCTCACGGCATTGGTCCTTCTCAAAGTGTCGGCCAGCACACAGTTTGCCTGCATGCGTGGATTGGTTGCCTTTGTAAATGCTGCCTGAATAGCCAATCACGTGTACGCCAGCGATGATGACCCAGCTTCAACACCACACTCCGGTTCGACGCCGACACGCATGCGCCGCGCTAGTTTCGGTCCAGATTCAGGAATACAGGAAGCCAACTGTGCGTGGCTGGCAAAGTGTTCGCGCCTCGCCATCGTTCCCTTTCCCCCCTGCGTCTTCTTCATCTGTTTCTTCCCAGGGTAGAAACAGCCACTGCGTTGGCCACTCCCAGCGTGACCTTCCCCCCGCAGTGTCGTTGTTTTACAACCACTCCGTCGTGTGTCTCTGCTCGTCGACCACCCTCGTGAGCCCCGTCCACATGCCCGAGTCAGGCGACGTGGAATTGGACGACGATGGCGACGACAGCGGCAGTCACCATGCCGAAGCCCCCACTGGGCTTGACATGCTCCTTTCGACGCTAGGTAGTTTTCCGAAGACTCCTCGTAACCCTCCAACGGAACAAAACCCCCTATGCGCCTCGCAGTCGGTCGCCTCAACTTCTCAAGGTGTTGTCGAGCCGAATTCCGCGCCTATTCTAGGCCCATCCCTGGCTAATGCTTTTACCTGTAGTCCAGGTTCCGCCCCCCCTGTGAAACCTGGCGATCGATACCGGCAATCCACCCTGTGGAATTTCCCATGCGGTCAGCCGACGACGCCCCGCCCCTCAGCCATGTGCGAAGATGACGACAACGATGGCGGCGACACTACCGCTGCACCCGACAAGTTTCGATCGCCTGAGGATGTCTACGGCGAAGCCCTCAGCAAGTTTAATACGCGGTGGTCCGAGCGGTTTCCCTGGCTTATGATCATTAAGACTGACGCTGGATTCCCTGCGTTTAAATGCAGTCTGTGCCTTGAGCATGCAGGACTCAGAAGGAAAGCCGGCAAACGCGGCGCAGGGCTGACGGACGTTCAGTCGCAGGCATTCAACAGGCACGCGGGGTCGGCCAAGCACCGCCTAGCCGTGACAAAGCAGCAGGCGCTGCTGCAGGACGCAACCAACCAGATGCAGATCGACCAGCTTCCCCATGCCGCAGACCTGGAGAAGGAACGTGTGACTGCGCTGCTTGACGCGCTCTACTTCTGCTGCAAAGGCAACGAGCCAATGGAAAACTGGATCAGGCTCGTGCGCTACCTCAGCCAACGTCGGCACGAGCACTTCCCCGAGCAGACCTATGGTACGTACTACAACAGGTATTCTTGTGTGTTTGATTTTGTTTTGCATGCATCTATCATGCATGACGAATGTTCATATTTCAGCATACTAATTATCTGTATGCCCTTGGCTACTGCAGTTATGGGTACGGGGAGTTCACACAGTCCATGGCAACCTGGCTGCAGACAACACAGTTGGACCACCTTCTGAGGAGCCCGTTCATCGGCTTGAGCATCGATGAGAGCACAGACCGCTGCCGCGGCAAGCACCTCATCGTGTTTGTGCACTTCATCCGCGAGAACCAAGTCGTCTGCGAATACCTGGCCCTGCTGAGCGTCGACAAGGCCGACGCTGCCTCTCTGCTCGCTCTACTCCTGTCTCACATCAACGCCATCGGTGTCGACCTCCGGCGGGTCGTGGGCATAAGCACCGATGGCGCTGCTGTTATGATGGGGTCGAAGGCTGGGCTTGTGACGCGGCTGCGGATGCAAATTCCGCACTTGGTGTCGTGTCACTGTATTGCGCACAGGTGAGCGTTGTTGTTTACCGCTACTGTACCTCGGTTTAAGTGCACTGGTGGTTTCCGCATGTGCAATGTGTATTACTTACCCCGCTCCCAAGGCCCAACATGTACCAATTTTTTTTTCGTTTTGTCCCACCCTCCAGAGAGGCACTGGCAGCTAAAGCAGCGGCGGAATCCTTGCCAGCGTTCAAGATGATTGACGATGTCATCAAGGAGCTCGCTGAGTACTTCGGACGATCCGGCCCATGGCACCAGCGCTTCTTGGACCTGCAGGAAATCTTCACCTCGACGAACCTCGAACTTCAAGGCATTCATAACATCCGATGGCTCTCCTGCGGTGAGGCTGTCATTAGGTTAGTCAAGGTTCTACCCGCCATCGTCGTCATGCTCTCGGAGTGGACTGATACCCGGCTCTCCAGGATAGTGACAAGCTACCGCTTCTGGTTCCTTGTCATGTTTCTTGCTGACGTACTGGAGCAGCTAAACATCCTCAACAAGTCCTTCCAGGAGCGTCAGGTGAGTTTTTCTTTACTGTGACAATGAGTCGTTATTAAACCACCCTGGTTCTGTATATATACACGTTCCCCTCCCTTCCTCCCCTCCCCCTCTTCCCCGCCCCAACCTCAGCTGGAGTACTCAGCCGTCCATGCGCAGATCATCCGCACAACAACCCTGCTGCAGAGCCGCTACGGGGACGCCGAAGACTTCGGCGGGGGACCGAAGAACCGTCTCACCATGTTCCTCACCCGTCACGGCGCGGGCGGTTCTCGCGAGGTCACAGCTGAGGGGGTTGACTCCGACGGTCGTCCGACTTCCTTTACCTTCGTGCTGCATGAAGATCGCTTGCCCGGTTATCCGGGGGAGGGTGATCACGACGCGTGCCAGAGGCTCTGTGTGGCCATGGCGACAGGCATGGTGTCAAACTTGAAGGAGCGGCTGGGTGATCTGGGGAAGCTCTCTGGCTGCCGCCTCTTCTCTGTCAACCTCTGGCCCCCTAACTGGGAGAAAGCTGCACGCAAGGCCCAGTGCCTTGACTGGTTCTTCTCCCTTGTTACTCTTTATCGTGCAGATGAGGCAGAGGAGATTCTTCCTGGCATTGACAAGCGTGCAGCCATGAGAGAGCTGCCTCATTTCTGCCCTGTCATTGCTGCTCTTCCCCAGGCCGACCGAAGCTTTCACGCTGGGCTCACGGCCATGCTGAAGACACCTGACTGGCAGGATTCTTACCCGAACCTGATGAAGCTGTGGATGGCGGTGGCAGTGCTTCCTCTCAGCACTGTGGAGTGCGAGCGCGGATTCTCTAGGCAGAATGTGATTAAGAGTTGGCTGCGTGGCAGCCTTAAAGATACTAGGCTTAGTGACCTCATGTGCATGTCACTGTTAGACTATGACCCGGACTATGATGCTGTGGTGGAAATATGGCGCGCTTACAAGAAGCGTAAGCCCTTCAACAACACCCCTCAGGCCAAGCAAGACGGCTCGAAGAAGAGGCAGGTAGTAGCAGAAGAGGCAGAGTGGGGTGTAGGTAGTAGTGACAATGTGGACAATCTTGATAATTTCGAATAAAGTTCCTTGCTTCTCAATTTCCTCTTCATTTTGTCAATCACGGAAAAAAAACCATCTATCTCTGTCCATTCAGCATTTTTGTCCCACACAATCCTGACCCCTAAGCAAAAGAAAATGGGGACCTCTGAAAATTCAGGGAAAAAACCATGGGTAGTCCTTTGCAATCAGGATGACTTAAAACCAATCTGAGGGCCTGGTACAATCCCCTCCTTGTACCCCTCTCTCTTCCTAATCGATTCTCGACATTCTCGTCTACCTCCTAGCTAAACCTCGGCCGCCATTTCATGGCGGCCTTCTCCTTTCTTGCTAGCTCAGTTTCAAGACATGGTAACAGAGCAGGCCGCCCGTCCCGAGCCTGCTCATTACGCTTCCGCTGCGTTCCTGTCGTTACTTCGCCGCCGTTGCGGCTTTCCGCCTGCCTGCCGCCGTGGCATCTGTTCCATGATGCCGCGGCGGCCTTTTAGTGCCGTCGTCTCAGCGTCGACGAGCAGTTGCAGCGACGACGCCACGCTGTGGTGGCGTCGTTGTGGTGCTGTGGCTGCGTCGTCGGCCTGGTGCCGTCGCGCACGACCTGCGTTGCTGCTGGAAAAGCAGCCCGCCCGTACGCCAGTAAGCATGGCGCCATTGCTGACACCACAGGAGAAGGCGCCATTACTGGCGTGCGGGCGGGCTGCTTTTCCAGCAGCAACGCAGGTCGTGCGCGACGGCACCAGGCCGACAACGCAGCCACAGCACCACGACGGCGCCACCACAGCGTGGCGTCGTCGCTGCAGCTGCTCGTCGACGCTGAGACGACAGCACTAAAAGGCCGCCGCGGCATCACGGAACAGATGCCACGGCGGCAGGCAGGCGGAAAGCCGCAACGGCGGCGAAGTAACGACAGCAACGCAGCGGAAGCATAATGAGCAGGCTCGGGACGGGCGGCCTGCTCTGTTACCATGTCTTGAAACTGAGCTAGCAAGAAAGGAGAAGGCCGCCATGAAATGGCGGCCGAGGTTTAGCTAAGAGGTAGACGAGAATGTCGAGAATCGACTAGGAAGAGAGTGGGGTACAAGGAGGGGATTGTACCCTCTACAGTAAGGTTCAGTAACAACTACCAAGCCTATCAATTATATATAACTTATATAATTTTAACAGCCCTAGCATGCCAACCCCTATATAACCTCGTGCCTTCATTGCAATAGCGACCTTGTATTCTCACGTTATAGTACATTGACACTTCCTAAATCATAAGAGTGTGGTGCGTTGGTTTTTGTTACAATGCGGTGAAATGTGCAACCTTCAGCTCCGGGAGGTCAGGAGTTGATCGGGTGAGCTCGAAAGAAACAACCTGGGTCCTAAAAAAATTGGACGATTCAGAATCTCAGCATACCAGAAACGACGACGTTTCTAGAGATAGCTAGTTACGCGCCTGTGCCATTTCGACCCCTTTCGCTTAGTGGCGTGTAGCCTTGTCGACTAGCTCAGTATGTCAGACGTAAAGTCCCTGAAGCTGCGAGCTGGGATCTGTAAACGGCTGCTGAAAGAGCTGAAGTCGTACGAGACAGAAGTTGAGAAGGACGCCGCGAGAGTAGAGGAGATGAAAGCGAGCGGAGCCGACTCCCACGACATTAAACAGCAGGTACGCGATTCTTAATGTCGCTGGTAAACTAGGTCATTCAGGCAGCAGCAGGCTCTGTTAGTAATTTTTTTCTCCTCCTTCTTGGAATATTTGTTCGAATCCTCCGTGCATGCAGGAAAACGTTCTGGCGGAATCGCGCATGATGGTCCCTGACTGTCGCAAGCGACTAGAAGCAGCATACTACGACCTCGAGTCTACTGTGGTGAGTGCTGATGCTGTTAGTGCGAATGTCCCCTCCCCTTCTGTCCCCCCTACCTAGAGGCCTTCTACGACCTCGAGTCCACTGCAGTGAGTGCGAATGTGCCTTCGCATTCCCCCCCACTTTATCAAGAAGCAGCCTACTGCAATCGCGAGTCCGGTGTGGAGAGTGAGATTGTCCCCTCCTTCCAAACCCCCTACCTAGAAGCAACCTATTACGACGTCGAGTCCGCTATGGTGAGTGGTGATGCTGTTAGTGTGAATGAAGCAGTCCTCTTCCCTGTGTTCCATTCTCGTACCTTCAGTCCAGTGTGTCAGGCTCCCCTTCCTTCCCCCTACCTAGAAGCAGCATACTAAGACCTAGAGTCCAACATGGTGAGTGCGAATGTCCCCTCTCCTTCCCTCTCCCCGACCCAGAAGCAGCACACCACGCCCTAGAGTGCAGCATGGTGAGTGCGAATGTACCAGTCTTTCTTACCTCCCATCTTCCCACCTTCAGTCTATTGCGCCAGGCTCACATTTCCCTTTCCCTTAACTAGAACCAGCTTACCACGACTTCGAATCTGCGTTGGCGGGTTCGATGCGCATTCATTGGCCACCATTCACTATTTCCAATTTCCACTCCCTCCAGTCCGCCCCACATTCCCCCTTCTCGTCCCTCCCTTCTTGTCCCCAACCCCATTTCTTCCTTTTCATTTCCCATGTCTCCCATGGTTCCTGCTCTGCTCACGCGCTCAACAGTCTCCTGTACATCTACTGTTTTCTGCCTTTACTCCGGTGTCTGCTGTGGTGTGTTTGATACAGGACGGAGCACGGGATGACACCGCTTTAGTAGATACTAGCGAGTTCAAGGAAGCACTAGAGATCTTGGCAGAGGCTTCTCAAGTGGTTGGATGAAGCTTTTTACGGCTTGGGGGTTTTCCGAAGGCTTGGGAGTAGGTAGCAGTCCGTGCGACCCCAACAACCTTGCACGGACACACGAGTTGAAGGGAGATCCTGGCAGAGGCTTCTGAAGTGGTTGGAAAAAGCTTTCCACAGCTTGGTTGCAGCAGCCCACACAATCTTCCTCTTATATCAAGTCACAAGCCTCTTTCGCACATTAGCCTCTTTGCACCATTTATCAGCTGCAGAAGCCAATTTGAAGACTTAACACAGTACAACAGTGAATCAGCAGCATAGAAGCTAGCAGGCACCGGTACCACCAAATGATGCTAGCACGAACAAGCATAGTACCAATAAGGGCGGCAGGCTATCCTCAAATCCGCCCAGCGAGTGGCTGCACTAGTTCCAGCTATAGTCACCCTACCTTTGCCCTTCACCTCATACTTCTTGTCCCTGTTCCTCCACCCCCTTGCTTCCTTGAGACGGCTCCACACCAGACCAGCAGCACTAAGACCAGCATGCCGTTGCCAGGTCTAGCAACTCTACCTTTGCCCTTGATCAGCTGGTTCTTGCCCCTGTTCCTCCACCCCCCCGCTTCCTCGAGACGGCGCCGCACCAGCAGCACTGGCAACAGCAGCACCACTAGTACCACTGCCCCTGCTGCGACCATCGCTGCCATTGATGTCACTGTCAGCACCAGGCGAAGCATCCACGCCTGCGCTACTGGAACTGACAGGCCCAGTAGGGGGGGTCGGAGCTGTAGAAAGGGGGGTCTGAGTTGCTTGTTCGCCCGCACCTGCACCAGTTGCACCTGCACCAGATGCACCTGCACCAGCTGCAGCTTGGTCAGGAGAACTAGCAGCTACCTGCCCTTGAGCCTGCACCTGTCCCTGTCCCTGTGCCTGTGCCGTTAGCTGCTGCAGATATTGCTGCAGGTACTGCTGCTGGTATTGCTGGTACTGCTGCTGCTGCTGCTGCTGTGGCTGCTGATGCTGCTGCTGCTGGTAGTGCTGAAGCAGCTGAAGATACTGCTGCTGCTGCTGGTACTGTTGCTGTTGCAACTGCTGATGCTGCTGCTGCTGCTGCTGCTGCTGCTGTGGGTATGCAGATGACAACCTGAAGGATCAGGGGTGAAAATGAAGTGCAAACGGGAAAAAAAGGGGGATTGATATGCACTACTACGTGCATGGTAACATCAAAGAAAAAGAACGACACCGACTGGAATCATAGCAGATACACAAACTATGCAAGCTGAGAAAAGACCGGAGATGCGGAAGTCTGGGCATAGCGGAAGCATCTTCTGAGTCAACACAAAAGCAGACTCAAATAAACGTAATGTATATTGAAAATATACTTACGGCTGGAGATGCACAGAAAAAGGCATAATTGCTGAAGCCTTGCTTGCAACAGGAAGGGGAGGAGGGGGGGGAGGACCCGCACTAAAGTGCAACAGCAGCTACCCCATATGGAAATGCCTGGCGAATTGAAAGCACAGCGAAGGAACCATACCAGGCATTGTATTGACGAAGGAAAGCATCAGGCCCAGAGGCACTGGCTGCAGCAGGTGATATTTGAGTCGACTCAAAAATCACCTGGCGAATTGAAAGCACAGCGAAGGAAACATACCAGGCGTTGTATTGACGAAGGAAAGCATCAGGTCCAGAGGCACTGGCTGCAGCAGGGGGATGACCTGCACTCTGATCTGCACCAGCGGGAGTCTCAGCAGAGGAAGACGCAGAAGGTGAAGCCGTGCTGGCAGTAGGAGGTGAAGCCCCGGATGGTCCTGCTCCAGATGTACCTGCTGCTCCACTGGTACCTGCTGCTGTTTCAGATGGTCCTGCTGCTGCCGCTGCTCCTGCAGATGAGCCTGCTGCTGCTGCTCCACTTGTACCTCCTGCTGCTGCTGCTGCAGCCACATATGCAGCCTGAACCTGCTGCTGCCACTGCTGCCAGTACTGCCACTGCCCCCACTGCTGCCACTGCTGCCATTGCTGCATCTGCTGCCACTGCTGCCACTGCTGCTGCTGCTGTTGCTGCTGCTGCTGCACCTGCTGCGCGTACAGCAGCTGCTGCAGCTGCTGCTGCAGATACGGCTGCTGCTCCTGCTGGCCTCCAAACCCTCCCCCTGCTGCAGCAGCTCCCATCCCTCCAGGAAGGTTCAATTGCCCGTGGAAAACGTGAACAGCCGGCATACCACCACCTGCAGCAACACGAAACTGGCCCAAGGGGATGATCCCACCCATGCCACCCACGCCACCAGCAGCACCGCCAGCACCAGCAGCGGCGCCAGCAGCAGGAGCAGCAAGAGGCACAACCCCAGCTCCTCCTGGCAACCCACCTCCCATGCCCAGCCCCCCAAATCCCACACCTGCAATCCCCCCAGGCGCCCCATTCCCACCAGCAGCAGCAGCAGCCGCAGCGTTTCTAGCAGCAGCAGCAGCTGCAGCAGCGGCAGCAGCGGCAGGCGGGGGCGTGGGCTGGGCCTGGGGTTGCAGCAGGGGCGCGCGGCAGGTGGGGCAGGTCTGCTGGCGCTCGAGCCAGGAGCGCAGGCAGTGCACGTGGAAGAGGTGGCCGCAGGGCAGCTTCTTGGCTGACGTCATCTCCTCCCTGCATATGATGCACGTGCTGTCCGCCCTGCTGGGTGGAAGGGGGAGGAGGGGGGGGGGGGGGGAGGGGGAACGAGAGGGAGGAGGACGGGGGACAGCAAGAAAGAGGAGATCAGAAAAAGGTCCAAAACCCAACCAGGAGCAGAAGGGGGGAATGCAGCAGGGGCGCGCGGCAGGTGGGGCAGGTCTGCTGACGCTCGAGCCAGGAGCGCAGGCAGTGCACGTGGAATAAGTGGCCGCACGGCAGCTTCTTGGTTGACGTCATCTCCTCCCTGAATATGATGCACGTGCTGTAAGCCCTGGGAGGTGTTGGGGGAGAAGGGGTAGGAAGGAGAGGTGGGGGTCGGAGGGCAGGGCAACCGGACAAAGGAGATAAATAGGGACAGAGCAGAGAACCATAGTCTTCTTGGCTGACGCCATCTCCTCCCTGCAGTTAATGCACGTGCTGTCCGACCTGGGGAGGTGGGGGAGAAGGGCGTGGAGGCGGCGTGGAGGCGGCGTGGAGGCGGGGGGGTGTGCGGGTTGAACGCCGAGGACAGGACAGGACAGGGGAGATGGTTCCTCTATGGAATGAAACCCTCAAACCAACTAACCTCTCCAGCTCTTCAGGCGTGGCATCCGGGAGCCTCTCGTTGAGGTTGGATGTGATGCGGTGGTGGCCCATGAAAGGAGCACGGTTTAGATCTATCAACCAACCCTCACACCAACCAGCTCACCTTTCGAGCTCTTCAGGTGTCGCATCAGGGAAGCGTTCGTTGAGGTTGGAGGTGATGCGGCGGTAGCGGATGAAGTCCGCTACTCAAGGTGGCCTGTGAGTTGACTCAGAGTTCACCCACCTCTCAAGCTCTTCAGGTGTGGCGTCGGGGAACCTCTCGTTGAGATTGGATGTGATGCGGCGGTAGCGAATGAAGTCCGCCACTCGCATGCGAAAGTTGCGGAAGGTCTCGTAGAGATCACGAATGAGGTGAAGGGGCAGGCCGTAGGTCCTGGGGGGGGATGATGAGAAGTGAGAGGTGCGGGCAAGACAGAAAAGCAGAAACGAGAGGGAGCACACTCAAGTATTAAAAAGCGTACAAACCATTTACCGAATGGTGGTGTAGAGCAGACACAAAGTTCACTCGCTAGAAAGACGAGGGGAAGTATGTGAGGAATAACAGGCTCGTCCAGAGAGCACTCTTTTATAGAGAAGGCAAGGCAGGGAGGAGAGTGGGGAGCGCAAGTATTCTCACATGAAGATGATGGAGAAGAAGGCGAGGTACACGAGGAGGTGCAGCAGGTCCTTGACGAGCTCCAGGTAGAAGATGTACGTCGCCTTGTGCTCCCACTGCCCGTCCATGACGGTGTCCACCATGTAGAACACGTACTTCACGATGTTCGCCAGCATGGCGGACGCCAGGATGAAATACCTGGGGTGGGATGATGTTACAGTGTTACAAGGTTAGAGAAGGGCGAGATAGCAACAGCGGGAAGTGAAGGGTGCCCTTTGTGCACCACTGCCCGTCCATGACGGTGTCCACCATGTAGAACACGTACTTCACGATGTTCGCCAGCATGGCGGACGCCAGGATGAAGTACCTGGAGTAAGAGGGGGGGGGAGCGAAGCAGGAAAAGCGTAACATTGTTACAGCCGGACGAGGTAACAATACTGTACCAGGCATACTTGACGACGTTGGCCAGCATGGCGGACGCCAGGATGAAGTACCTGGGATGGTGTTACGATGTTATGGTAACGAAAGCGAAGACACTTGGTTCCCAACCCAAACGAGTCGTGAGGAGGTTGAAGGCCGCCAGGAATTCCAGCACGCAAGTTTAAGGCGGCTCGAAAGTTGAAAGAGGAAGAAGACCAAGCTTACTCGAAAGCGAAGAGGATTCGGACCGAAGCGGAGCGGTTCTTTAGGAGGTACGAGACCGCCTGGTACTCGAGCACGCAGTCCATCGCCAGAAGCAGCACCATGAAAACCGTGATCCGGATGTGAGAAATCCGCGATACTGCAGGCGTCGTTTCGATGTACTCCACCCGCTTTTGAGCCAGCCAGTGGAAGATCTTCACAAATAAGAGGGTAGAAAACATTCCGACGAAGGAGAAGGTAAATTCCTCTCGGAAAATCGTCATCGCGAGGCACGTCTCCATGATCTCGTGCCGCGAGAGCTCGTGTAATCTCTCCACCTCAGCTTCGCGGAGCTTTCCGAGAAAGACGGCTTTAACTATGTGGCCGAATAGTAGAAGCAGGACGAAGGCCATATTTCCCATCACGACCAGGCAGATCTTGGAGGTAGAGAGGTAGAGCATCGCTGGGAAGAACTGCTCCCGGGTGTAGAAGGCATGGTAGACCACTCCTAGTAAGGTCGCCAGGCTCAGAGCCGCGTATTGACCTAATCCTATCATTGTGATTAGCTGCGAGGGGACGGGTCTCTAGATCGTCACGGAAACCCGCGCGAGTCGCGGAATTAGCGATTTCGCGAATCTAAGAGTCGCGATATCTATGTAACACAAAACGAAACTAGTGCCAGAGAAGTTTATTCAGGGTAGACCGAACAATAACGGCTGAAACCATCTGCGATCCATGGTTCCCTTGAACTGAACTCCTCCGCGAAAGAGACATTATGACGCGCGTAAAAGCATCCTCACATAGCGGATGCAGGGCGACGGATGACCTAAATGATGCTGCAACCCTTGAACAAGGATCAACCTATAATCAGTGAGGTGGTTGCCGCTAGACGGGAGTCTGGAAGGTCAAGCGTCTCTGCTGCAGCAGCACTCGTAGGAAAGGCAATCCCGAGGCATCCAGATTCAGAAATTCTAGATTCCAGAATACAGCACTGGACTGTCCGTGAGGCTGGCGTTTGGTAGCCAATACTGTGCTCGGGACATGTTTCGGTTTGGGAAATCCAGCCGTATCGTTTGTTCAGTACGCTTTACGTCGGAAATAACTGAAAGTAACATCAACTGAGGTGTCGGACGACAGTCACATCAAACTTTTATTGGCGGCTGAAAAAGTCGCATACAAAGACATCGGTAACCCGAGAGCCCAAAACCAGTCTCGCTTTCGCGAGCGTCGTGCACAAGCTTTTCAAAATAGGACCTCGCACTCGATATACCCGATACAAGTTTGAGAAGTATCAAACTGTAGATTTACTTGAATATGACAAACAAAGCTGTAGAAAATTTACTTGAATATGACTAGGTCGTTCACTGTTCTGTAAATCATCCCCTTGGAAGTACCACCAGCACCAGTGAGCGACAGACCACTGACGATATCCAAGCTGCTGCCAATCGCCACTCCTGATTACAGTATCAACTAGCAACCCGCCCTATTGTGTCAGGCGATTTTAGTCCAGGTAACGAATCAACTCAGAATGGCTAAGAAGCATAATAACAACTCTGCCTTGTTATACTGGAGCCGAGTCTCAACGGAACCTGCCAGCAGTTCCATTCCTAAGCCTTCAGAATTCAACAGGCAGTCAGATTCCACCTCATCAAGCGGTCAAGGGTCAAGAGACTTTCAAGCAGCGTCGTCGCTTCCGTTTAAATCATCTACCGCAATTTCGGTCGGTGAACGCAGCGGCGAAGCAAATGTCGGTTCTTTCGCAACGCACTCAAGTCTTACTTCACGAAACGATAGCAAGGCACAAACCGAAGGCTCAGAACGCGAGGGAGAACGCAATGCGGACTCTGCCAGCGAAATTCCGGCGGCTTTTGACGGATTCCGTCAGCGGTTCAGTCAATACAGCTCCCTGAGACCGATAGTCGTTGTGGTGGGGTGGATGCAGAGCACGCAGCGACAGCTAGCGGCGTACCTGCGGTTGATCAACGAGTGCGGATGGGATGCACTGGCCTGCCACCCTCCGCTGCTGCACCTGTGAGACACTGAATTGTCACTCTCCCTCTCCGCATTATCCTCTATTATTGGGTCGACTCTAAAGTCTCTGTGTGATCAACGAGAGCGGATGGGATGCGCTGGCCTGCCACCCTCTGCTGCTGCACCTGTAATGCACTAGATCATTCGCACTTTCCCTCTCCGCATCCGTGATTCTTTCCCTCACCTCATTTCCCGTACCACTATGCTGGTTCCAAGCCTGCTTTTCTCACATTCAAGCGTTTGTTTCATTTGGCGTCAGCGCGTTTTCCTCTGAACCCTGCCGTCCCTCCTGCAAATCATGCGTCGATCCATTTCCTGCGTCCAGAATTTCTTGAATCCACAGGACGTTTCTCAAAACGAAATTTTCTTATGCAATATGCTATCTAATTTATGCTACACATTGCAATTATTTCACGTCATCTCATCAGATGGATGCCTTGGAGAGCAGAAGCACTGGCAAGAGCTGTCATGAGCGAACTGGAGAAGGTAACGTTCTGCTATCTGCTCATTTTCATGTTTCGTACCTTTGAAACTAGCAGTCTTAGGCAGGAATTACCTGCCTGGTTCTGTATGTGCTCGTAACGCCCTTCTCCCTTCCTTCCAGGAGCTTGCAGGTCAGCCTCGTCCAGTGGTCTTCCTGTCGTTTTCTGGAGGGTACAAGGCCTGCCAGTGGAAGATCATGGAGGTGGGACTGACTAATAATGGCATATAAAAAATCAGCCCTCTATCATGTCTCTCACTGCTTCTGCCACTGCTCACTGCCCCATTTGCTCTCCCTCTGACTGCTTTTTTTCTTTGTTTGCACACTTTTCATGGAAACCTGCAACAGCGGACCGTTTTACCTTCTCATCTCACTGTTGCGCTTTTCAGGCTCTTCTTTCAGCGCCTTTTCATCAAAGGCAACCTTATGACGGAGATACAGCAGCAGCAAGTGCACTGACATCGCCAGGATTGGCCTCCGGATTGGCGCACGTAAATTCTACATCACGCTCTCACAAAGTCTCCCCCTCCTCTTCCCACCACCGCTTCCTTGGGCTCCTCCGAGAGTGTTTCGCTGGCCAAATCTTTGACTCATCGCCTGTTGACTTCACATCTGACCTCGGCGTCAGATTCCTCTCCCAACAACCCGCCACCCCTCAACCAACTTCCACCTCCCAACACCCTGCCTCCCCCCAACAACCTGCCACCTCCCAACAACCTGCCACCCCTCTGCCAACTTCCACCTCCCAACAACCCGCCACCAAAGCCAGTGCTCCCTCTACCCTGAGTGATACCCCTGTTGCCGCTCCTGCACCCACTGCCGCCCCTGCCGCCCCTGCCGCCCCTGCTGCTATCAGCCCACCCAGCACCCTGCGCCGTACCTTGGTTCGCTCGGCTGCCACGGCGCTCGACTGGCTGCTGCTTCCCGAGTTTGAGAGGCAGCGAGCAGCGCAATGGCAGTCTCTCCTCCACTCCTCGGTACGTGCTGCTCCATGTTCCCTGCTGTAGCAGGTCGCTCACTCCTCGGTGCGTGGAGCATACCTTTGGCATGTTGCGTGACTGCCTCTGCTCTAATAGCTGAGCGGCTGCTTCCTGACTGCTTGATTCACTGGGAATGGCAGCGACCGCGCGAAACACAATGGAGGACTCTGGCTCTGACCGCCAGAGGTAGGCTCTGACCGCCAGAGGTAGGCTCTGACCGCCAGAGGTAGGCTCTGACCGCCAGAGGCCTAGCACAACAGAGGCCGCTGCATGACTCTTTTTGTGCATCATCTCCATCAGCGGGAGCGCTACTGTTTCTTTCCAAAGGCTCTTTATTGCATTGCCCCCTTCAGTCCAGACCCTAGGCCCCGTGCTCCTCCGTTGCTGCTCAGACGGCCGTTCTGTTTGCTGGCCGTTCTGTTTGCTGGCCGTTCTGTTTGCTGGCCGTTCTGTTTGATCTCCTGTACCCCTCCCCCTCCCTGCTCCCTCCGTCCTCCCCATGCAGGTCCTAGCCCCCGTGCTCCTCCTTTGCAGCACGGACGACCAGCTAGCTCCCATTGCTTTCATTCGAAAGTATGCAGGAGAGGCGGAGGCACGAGGAGCGACGGTGAAGGCAGTGGAATGGAGCACATCCGAGCACGTGGGTGAGTATGACAAAACATGAGGGATTTCTCCCCGTATATTCCCCGCACTTTCCATATGTCAAGCCCTCCTTTCCTGCTACTCGTGTTGTTCCTAGAAACCCCAGGAAATTTCTTCATCCACCATTCCTTCCCTCCGGTGTATTCTCCATTCTCACAAGGAAGAGCAATGACAAGACAAGGCAAACCCAATCCACTCCCTTCTGCCTTGCTCGACCCCACCCTTTCCAATCCCCGCCAGGTCACCTGCGGCACCACAGGCGGGAGTACACAGCAGCCCTGCACGCCTTCCTGGAAAGAGCTCTGCTCCTCTGGAAGCAACGGCAGGCCAGCAGCCGTGGTGGCGGTGCTGGAAGTGATGGTGGCGCAGCCGTGGCTCCCAGGTCCAGGCTGTGATTCCGTTTTGGCTGATCTCGCCTTTGCAGGCAGGAGTACACAGCAGCCCTGCTCGCCTTCCTGGAAAGAGCTCTATTCCTTTGGGAGCAACAGCAGGCCAGCAGCCGTGGTTCCAGTGGTGGGGTCTGTAGCAGAGATAGCAGCAGCAGCAGCAGCAGCAGCAGCAGCAGCAGCACCAGGAGCAGTGACTCAAGAGCCAATGGAAACTGTGCTTGTGGTGCAGCAAAAGTTGCCCCCAGGTCCAGGCTGTGATGTGATTTAATCATTAATCATTCAACTGAGGCTCCTCACGCATGCAGCATGCTGAGGCAGCTCCTCCTGGCACTTTCAATGTACCAGCTTACGGTACTTGCAATGCAATGCTTCTCATCTCACAAACAGTGCCTGACCTGAGAGGGGAGAACTACCCATAACCCACCTCCATCCACAATGCAAGCGGCTCACCCAAAGGCTCTGCTCGAATAATTCTGCAGCAGCAACACATGCCTGAAATCCAGGGTCAAAGAGGAATTCTCCAGTGGAATGAACGGATGCCTTCAATTCTGGTTGCGGCGTGCAGAACTAGCTCCTCCACCCATCTCAACCGCTGTCATTCCACCATCTACAGAGAGAATACTACAGTGAAAACGTATACCCTTTATAGAGTGCCTTCCTAACACTAGTGTGCTTCTTCCTTGTTTGGTAGCGCATCTACGCCTTGACCAGGGGTCTTGGTTTCTGTGGCAGCAGGTGCACTGCCCTCCAAGCCTCCTTGGCTGGTTCGGGCTGCCAGCACACCAGCTTCGGCAGCTCGTTTGAGAGCCTCGGCAACAAGATCGCTACTGTTGGCCCCCCAAGCCACATGAGTTGTCTCGGAATGTTCCCACGGCACGCCTCTTCCACCCTGCTCTTCCTCCCTTCGTGCACGTCCTCGTTGCTCGCTCTTCACGCTCCCTTCCTCCTCCCCCATCTCCCCTCCACCCTCGTTTCCAGCCACCCCGAAGCCAACCCCTGCCACCCCTGCGTCCCCTCCCCTCGCCTGAAGCAGCAGTTTCTGCTCGCACTTCTCCACAGATAGACCGTTCACCGCAGCAGCATCAGCAGCATCTGCCCCTTCTTGAGTCGACCGCAACACCTGCTGCCCACACTTCCCCGCATCTACACCATTCACACACACACTTTCTACACTACCTGAGATGGTCTCATTCACCTCCCTTGCCCTCTTAGTGACTCCCTCCAACCGTCCTCTACTCCTCTCTTCACGCCCACCCCCCCTCCCTTCCTCGTCCTCAAACTCCCCATCCTCTCTCTCACTCAACTCATCCTCTCTCTCCCCCCTCGCCTCCTCTCCCCTCTCCCTCATTGCTACCCCCTCACCCCTCCCCTCACTCATTGCTACCTCCTCTGCACATCTCCCACTCCTTTGCATGTCCTCTCCTCCTTGAATCAAGCCCCCATCGCCAACCCTTGCTTCTGGCACACCCATCGCACCAATCATCATCCCACCATCATCCATGCTACTCCTTTCACCCATCTCCCCTGTCCCAGCCCCTCCCTCACTGCCCCCCCCCCTGCTATCTCTTCCCTCCTCCTCTCCTCTCCCCGTCCTCCTAACCTCCACCCGTCTCTGCTGTCCCTCCTCCCCTCCCGCCCCATCCTTACCCCCACAGGAGAGTCTAGAAACTCTGTTAATCTCCTCGGCCCTCTATACCCCGCAGATAACGACCTTTTCATCACAGCACCACTGCCACCAGCAGCAGCAGCAGGGCTGCTCCCTAATGCCCCCCCTGTTGCAGCTCCTGCTACTGCTGTTGCTGCTGCTCCTGCTGCTCCTCCTCCAATTCCTCCTGCTGCTGCTCCTCCTGCTGCTGCTGCTGCTGATTGTCTCGGAGATGCTGCCGGTTGCTGCATGGCTTTCGGCATGAACTTAGGACTGACCAACGGCACCTTAAAGCCCATTTTCTTTAACAGCCGGCTCCGCACCCCGCCGCCGCCCATGGCAGCAGACGCAGCACCCTTACCCCCACCCCTCCCCCCACTGCCGAGGCTGCCACCAAAGCTGCTGCCAAACCTCCCACCGCTGCCGAGGCTGCTGCTGGAGCGAGGGAAGGAGGAGGGAACTGAGGGGGTGCGGGAGAGTGAGGGAGTGCGGGTGAGAGAGGAGGACGTGGGGAGGGGATGGGAGCGGGCCTTGGGGAACGGCTTTCGAGAGGACGGCTGCAGGGGAGGGAGGTTGACGGAATGGGAGAGCAGAAATGGAGAGAGAGGAGAGGGAATGGGGAGTAGGAGAGTTAGTGCTTCATCCTTACTGCGATTCCAGTCGCCCAACCACTGGCACACAAATAGCACATATAGCACATCACAGTAATCAACAACGCCGACGCACTAGCTTCCGTGCACCCGTTCACTCTACTAACACGTACCGGACCCATAAGTTGTTGTGGCCCTCCCACTCTTCCATATCCCCTTCCTCTCCCCATCTTCCCTCCCTCCTCTTCCTCCTCCCCCTCCCCATCCACCATCTCCCCCTCTCTAAGTGCCTCCTCATCCTCCTCCTCCTCCTCATGCTCCTCCTCCTGCCCTTCCTTCTCCAGTCCCGGTATGAAATCCTCTGACTCGTCTTCATCCATCCCTATTCCCAGCAAATCCTCCTCCTCCTCATCCTCCTCGTCCTCCTCCTCCTCTGCCTCTACTCCCTCTTGCCCCTCATCTCCTTTCTCCGAACCCTCCTCCTGATCCTGCCCCTGCTCCTCCTCCCCATCCTCCTCCTCCTCATCATCTTCCTCCTCCAGTTGTCGTAGTCTAGACTTGCGTTTCTTGCCACCAACTGCTGCAGCAAGCGGCGCCTTTCTCTTGCTTGCACCCACTGCTGCTGCTGCTGCTGCTGCAGGGGAGGAGCGAGGCCTTCTGACGAGCACTGATGGCTCCTCCTGCTCGTGCTCTGACTCTGAATCGAGAGGACGAAAATCCTGTGGGGGGATGACAGGAAAATTGTCGTGTGACGAGGTGACTTGTGAGTCGACTCGAGAGGGCGAAAATCCAGAGGGGGGAACGACAGGGAAAATCACACAAATTGAAATCCGTTTTCAGCACACCATAAAGTTGGCTGGTTGGCTGGTTAAGGTCCCAAGAGGAGACACTCAAGGGTTCTCGCTCTTTGTGTTTCAACGTGCGCGTGCACACATGCACATGAGTGCGTGCACATGTGCGCGTATGCACATGTGCACGTATGCACCTGTGCACGTATGCACATGTGCACGTATGCACCTGTGCACGTATGCACATGTGCACGTATGCACATGTGCACGTATGCACGTGTGCACATGTGCACGTGTGCACGTATGCACCTGTGCACTTGTGCACGTATGCACGTGTGCATATGTACACATATGCACGTGTGCACACAATCACTAGCGTGCCTAAGAGCACGCATGCAGGCAAGCACGAACACACGTGCACTCACAAAAAAGGACAGGCATGCATGCTTACTCTGGCCAAGACAACTCACATCAGAATCCGAATCCGCGTCTTCCTCGTCCGCCGCCACCTCTTCCCCCTCCATATCCCCATCCTCCCCATCCCCATCTCCAGTCTTAGCTGCCTTAGCTGCATTTCGCTGCCTCTGACTTCTCGTGTTGGGTGGTTGGCTGCCAGGCGCAATCCAGCAATCCACAACACACAAGAGGGAAAGCAACATGAGGGAGCAAGGCGGTCAATAAAATGCGTTGGAAACTCTTTAGATCCCAGGCGCAATCCAGCAACCAACAACTCGCACAAGAGGGACAGGCAAAGGAGGAGAGAACAAGAGAAAGGAAACGAAGGAAACGAAGGGGAGACTGTTGTGAGACGTGGAGCGGGCGTAGTGGAACGGGTGGTAGTGGCACGGCACGTGTGGTAGTGGCACGGGTGGTAGTGGCATGGCATGGGTGGTAGTGGCACGGGGCGGGGGGTAGTGGCACGGGGCAAGGCGGAACTCGCCACATGCTTATAGCCCCTAGTCTCACCTAGCCTCACCAAGTCTCACCTAGCCTCACCAAGTCTCACCTAGTCTCACCTAGTCTCACCTAGTCTCACCAAGTCTCACCTAGTCTCACCTAGTCTCACCTAGTCTCACCTAGTCTCACCTAGTCTCACCTAGTCTCACCTTAAATCCGCGACACACATGGTTCGTCGCTTTCTCTTCACCATTCCTCTAGCTCCCTCCCCCGCTTCTTCCGCCTCTTCTTCTTCCGCCCCTCCTCCCGCCTCCTCTCCCGCCGTCTTCCGCGGAGTCAGCACGCGCAAGCCCACGCGCCTTCCGCCAATCACCGCCTGGCGCGCGGAGCTCTCCCCCCCCGCACTGCTCCTTTCCCCCGCGCGCGCGGACCTTTCCCCTCCGCGCGCACTCCGCGCCCTGGTGGCGGACGGCGCAGCGGCAACACTTGCCGCCGCGGCCAACCCTCGCCCGCCACGTGTCAACCTTTGCTTGGGGAGTACCTCCTTTTCCTCCTCCCTGTTCTCCCCCCTTTTCTTCTCCTTCTTCGCCTTCTTCGCCTTCTTTTCCTCCTCCTCCTCGTTCTCTTCCTCCTGAACTCCCGCGGCTAGCCTGGCGTAATTCACGGCGACGCGCCGCCTTTTAGACCGCTCCATTGCTATTCAACCAGATAAACAGCTTAGTATTCGCTCACTGTTAGCTTTTGCTCACTATTCGTCAACGAGTCGCTCACTTATCGCGTTCGAGCAAGAGGTAAATGAGACGGAAATACGGCATAGGACGAATAGAGAACACGCATGTGGTTCAAGCACACGCGAACGTGGGAGTTGGTGCGGTGCGGGTGCGTAAGCAAGTGCGGGGCGCGGGCGCGAGTGCGGGCGCGGGTGCGGGTGGGGGTGCGGGTGCGGGAACGAGTGGGGGGGTACGCGCGAGGATATGGCCACTCGTGTGGTTGAAACAGCTATATTCGCGTAACTGCCGCGAGTCAGCTAGCGCACGAGGCGGCTAGCGCACTGAGACGCCAGCGCGAGATAGGCGAGAGATAGTCGCGGTGAGAAAATGGTGTGCAGTACGTGCTATAGGGGGGTGCCTAAGACATTAAGCGCTAGTAGCTGTGACGCATGTTGTAGCAGGGAGAAAGTACAGGGGGCAGGAGCGATGAGCATCAATTGGAAACACCCAGAGTTTGAGGGGGCGGTGTCGCTGACACTCGGGGTGCATAAGTTTTCGCTGTTACCATTTCGGGAACGCTCGTTCGGGTTCCGAAAGGTCCTGGCAGAAATTTGGCACGCACTGAACACGCCCTGGGAACCTGGATTTTGACCACTTGTCGCATTTCAGAGCACACTTCAGGAACCTAGATTGTGTCACCACCAGCATTTGATCAGCTCTGTCTGCTGTCGAGGTGACTATACCGCCAAGACGAGGAACCCGAATATACCGCCTAGATTTTATTTACGCCTGAAAGTACCTGAATCAGGTTCTTGAGAATTATCAGAAGCATAATACACCTCTGACCAGCTCTCGATCTTGGTCGCACCACACCCTTTAGTCATATAGGTTCTCATTCGCTACCGCGAAACGCTCTCAACGCTTTACCTCGCGCCAGGCTAGGAAACCGCAGCGCCCGAACCGCAAGCAGAAATGGCGAGTTTTGAGATGCCTCAAAACTGACCTACTTAACGAAGCTAGGAAACCGCAGCGCTGGAACCGCAAGTAGAAATGGCGACTCACGCGAATCAGCAGCAGCAGCCGCTGCCGCCGTGGCTGCAGCATATTCCTGGCGAGGACGAACCACCGCACGATGCCACAGGTACGATTGCATATGGGTTTTTAATCGCCTCAATAACGGGTACAGGGTGTAGCAGGCTGCGGCACATTCCCGGCGAGGACGAACCACCGCATGATGCCACAGGTAGTGTGCTTTCTACAGATGGGTTTGTAGTCGTCTCAATAACGGGTACAGGATGTAGCAGGCTGAAGCACATTCCTGGCAACGGCACGATGCCACAGGTAGTGCGCACATACAGATGGGTTTGTAGTCCTCTCAACAACGGGTACTGGGTGTAGCAGGCTGCAGTACAGCACCGCACAATGCCACATGTACTGTAGTGCAATAGCTGCTGCCAGGTAGTGCGATTGCCGCCGCCATGTTAAGACATTTCCAGGCGCCTATCGGACTTCAACGTCTCATAGCTGGTCTCGGTCAATGTGTGACCTCCCCACCGTGATCGGTTACCCTTTCTATGATTTTCGAGGATTTTTTAGAATTCTAAAAAATCAAACTTGGTCAATGTGTGGCGGTGTGACCTCCCGAGTCCCCACTGTGATTGGTTGTTCCTTCTGTGCGTTGAGTGTGGACACGCCCATTTTTTTTGGGTGAAAACGTTTTTCCTACCTAGAAATGGGCTGTCTCTGAGAATCTGCAATTTCTGATCTTCCAAGTTTTGATCTCGTTATTGGCAGTTCCGGTTCTGGTGGCGGAAGTGAAACCAGCACTTGCCAATCAATTGATCAAGTGAGTACAAAATACCATCAGGTGATTGGCTAGGTCTCGGATAATAATCAACTGTTTAAATTGTTCCTTGACCAATTCCATCTACACAATTGTCTCGTGAATTATCCCCTCTTCGTTTATCTCCCAGCTTCCCCTTCCCACTCCCCTCCATTCCCCGCCGTTCCCCTGCAGGCAGCTAGCATCAGTGGCGCCCCTGCGGGACCCTCGCTCCCCTTGTCATCGCCTTAACCCTCCTCTCCCCACCCCCCCCCCCTCCCCCGCCCTCCCCAGGCAGCTAGCATCAGTGGCCCCCCTGCGGGATCTGCAGCATGTGAAGAGAGTCAGGCGGAAGGGGGAAGGTGAGAGGGGGAAGAAATAAAGGGGGGGAGAGGAGGGGGGAGGGGGGAGGCGGAGGGGAAAAAAAGGGGAGCAAAAAAATGATTAGCTTAGATAGAGGTGTAGTAAGAACAAGTGGGACAGATCCAGTCAAGTTTCTTATTCGTTCTCTCGCCACTGTGTAACCTCTTCTTTTCCTAATCACGTTCTGGCACCGTTTCTCCCCCCACACCACGTGCTATTTTGTCCTCGCTCTCCAGGCCGGGCCGTCTCCCTCCACGTCATCCTGACACCTGGCAACGACCCATTGGCTCTCCCAGAACCCCTGCAGCAGCTGGTGGCGCGACATGGGCTGGAAATTACTGTAGCTCAGGTGGGATATGGTTTACATGTTTTGGCTTATTTCGAAGTTTAGTTTTGAGGCGCCTCAAAACTAGATTTCATGTTTCGGCTTATTGCAAACTTGAAAATCGGTGCATGTGAACGAGTGAAATCGACTTGGGTTCAGCTTCAGCAGCAGCAGGTGGCGCGACATGGGCTCGAAACTGCTGTAGCTCAGCTCAGGTGGGTTTAACGCTTAGGGAGTTGCAGGCCTAGGCTCGAGATCCCCAGTACGACTGGGGCATTGTCATGTCAAGCTCCTCAAAGACTCGACTGGGGCGATCCCCGGTACTCAAGCTCCTCATACAATGACTTCCAGTGCTCTTCCAGGGACTGGATCCCTCTGGAACCAGTGTTCTTGCTCTCGTTGTCTTTCTTTCTTGCGCGAGAGCACTGTCAGCAGCAGCAGGGGCCACAGGTAGAGCTCCATTGACGACTCACCTTGGTTCGGCCTTGTGCCTACAGGTGCCAGCGCACGCACGCCCGTTGCAGTAAGCAGCTCTGGCAGCAGCAGCAGGCAATCTGACTCAGTTGGCTCCGTTGACTCACTTTGACTTGTGTGTGCCTGCAGGTGCCAGCGCACGCCCCTCGCAGCAAGGAGCTCTGGCAGCAGCAGCAGGCGATTTGGCCCACGTCCTTCCATCCACCCGTGTGCGTGCGTGCTACACCAGACCAGAGCTTCTTCCATTTGTGGTGGCAATAGGTTGACATGCGAGGGAGTGCATTCCCCCCCCGCGCTGAATGAAGCAGTGAACTAAGCATCCCATTTTTTCTTGTGTTTGTTTTATCCATCCACCCGTGTTGCTTTTACCTGTTTGGATACACCAGTTTGCCATGCATGGCCATCGCCCTCCATGACCCACACTGCTTATCTTTGCACGTGACCTATCCTTCTCCCTTTGTTCTTCTACCAGGCCTGGCAGCGGCGCTGCTGCTCCCCCCTCTACTATCACGCCAGCTACAGCCACGTACATCCAGCAGTGCTTCCGTGTGATTATACAGGGGGCTGTGGCAGCATGTAAAGGCAGAGAGGGGGCAGACGCAGGGGGGAGCGTGGCTCTAGAGAGGGTAGTGGAGGATGGTGAGGGGAGAGCGGCGGCTGAGCCAGGGTGCGATGAAAGAGATGGGGCAGAAATACATGGGGGAGAGACACATAGGGGGGAGACGTATGGGGGAGAGATGTGTGAAGGAAGGGAGGCAGGGGAGGGAATGGGCGGGGAAAAAGTCAGAGGGGAAGAGAGAAGGAGAGCGCAATGCAGCGAAGGTGGAGAGAGAGAGGAGGTGCAAGGAGGGGTGCAAGGAGGAGAGAGTGGAGAAGGAAGAAGGGTGCCTCCCACTTTCTCTCTTCCCCACTTAACGGGTTTCAACATGGTAATCATTGCAGACCCTAGCACCGGGTCGACCATCGCCTCTGCACAAACGCCCCCAACGTCTGCTCCTGAGAGGATCAAGACGAAAGGAGGGGAGAGGTTCTTGAGAATTCTCAAAAACCCAACGTCTGCTCCTGATAGGATGAAGAGGAAAGAAGGGGAGAGCTGCAGAGGAGGCAAGGAAGACCAAGGTAGCAGGCAGAAGAGCGGTGCTCTGTCTCCCCCACAACCACCCATGACAGCCAGAAGACAGAGAGTCTCTGGTAGTGAGAGCATGGGCGAGGGCCAAGCTTGTGAGGAGGAAGAGGCAGCCAGGCGAGATCCGGCTTGCGAGTCGACTCAGAAGGAGATGGGGAGGGAGGAGAGAAGGGAAGTGGATGGGGAGGAGAGGGAGTGCGAGGAGGGAGCTGAAGAAAAGGTCACGAGGGAAAGGGAAAGGGACAGGGCCCGGTTGCTCCTGGCAAGAGGGAGGTTGGGGCATCCCCTGGGACATGCGGTGATGATTGCGATTGCTGCTGCTGCCGCCCGGGACAGAGCACTGTTCCCCAGCGAGGCAGTACAGGACAAGACACTGCTCATGGATGGTGGGGAGGAGTCAAGGGAGGTGGTACTGGGGAGGGGTGATCCTGAGGCAACACGGCAAATCAAGAAGCAGAGAGAAGGGGTGAGAGAAGGGGAGCAGAGAGAAGGGGAGCAGAGAGAAGGGGAGCAGAGAGAAGAGAAGGGGGATCAGGAAGGGGAAGAGGTGAGGGAGGGAGCGGGTGTGGAGGTGGAAAGAGCTGGCAAGTCACCTGCGTTGAAAAGGCAAAAGTGCAATGATGTGAGTGCATGGAGAGCAAGGAAGCGCATCACTACTGCCATAGCCAGTCATAGTTCCAGTAGGTTTTTTTTTTTTTTTTTTTTTTTTTTTTTCGACTCATTCTCTTTGTCTCTGATCCGTTCCATACTGCACAACATCTCGTTCTCCTTTCTCCCCTTGTCGTTCAGCACCAGGTCCATCCAAGGGACCCGACACGTGCACCAGCTGGCTCGCCAGCCAACCCATCCTGCCTGTCTGCTGCTCGTCCATACCTCTGCACAGGCTTCGATGCTTTCCTGCTGCATGAACCGTGCATCATGTGAGTCGTGCATGGATGGATGGATGGATGGATGGATGGATGGATGGATGGATGGATGGATGGATGGATGGATGGATGGATGGATGGATGGATGGATGGATGGATGCTGCTAGTCATGTGCCGTTAGATCCGTGCGCGCATGAATGATGCATCATGTGGGTTCACTGCACGGCTGTCTGCTAGTCTGCAGTGTGTTTTTTAGAATTCTCAAATGCACGGCTGTCTGCTAGTCTGCTGTGCATCATGCCAATAGTCAATGCACTTCTGGTGCATCAACGCATTCTCAATAACCGTCTGCAATCCAATCCTCTCCTCTCCTCGCCTCTCCTCTCCTCTCCTCTCCTCTCCTCTCCTCTCCTCTCCTCTCCTCTCCTCTCCTTTCCCCAAGTGCGCCATGGCATTGGCGCGCCAAAGAGTTCGTCAACACCCATGGTCGTCAACACCATTCCCACCCACTTTTCCTCCACATAACGCCATGGGTGTCATGGCGCACCAATATTTTTCCTCCCATTCGCTCATCTTTCCCCTCTCTCCCCTTCCCTCTTCCCCCAGGTGCGCCATGGCATTGGTGCATCAGCGCGTGCGTCGAGTCTTCTACGCCCTTCCGAGCCCGAATGGAGGAGCACTGGGCAGCTGCTGGAGGCTGCATGGGGTGAAATCACTCAACCACCACTATGAGGTGTTCAGAGTTGACCTGTGTCAACTATTTGGTTGACTTCGGTCGACTTTAAAGTTGACCAGCAAGGTGGAGCAGCAGGGGAGAGCGCTGGGCAGCTGTTGGAGGCTGCATGGAGTGAAGTCACTCGACCACCACTATGAGGTGTTCAGAGTTGACCTGAGTCAACTTCTGGGGCAGCCTTTGAGTTGACTTGAGCCAACTTTGTAGGGCAAAGTGCCTGCCAGCAGGGAGGAGCGGTAGGAAGCTGTTGGAGGCTGCATGGGGTGAAGTCGCTCAACCACCACTACGAGGTGTTGAGAGTTGACCTGTGTCAACTATCAGGCTGACCTTTGAATGGACACAGAACTGCAACTCTTTTCTTAAATCCAACCACATAACCACCATGGATATAATACACTTGTTCTCTCCCAAGACTTCCCTCAAATGCTTGTTTTTGTACCAAAATTGCAGGTGACCTGGCATTGCTTGGTCAGTGCTAGTAATGACCGGCAAGCTAAGCTGGTACACGGTATAGGTGATCAGATCAGCCTATGTCAGAGCTGGTGGCCCACACCGGCGCACCAGTATTGCAGATACACGACTACCGTATGTCAGCCTGGTAAGTACCAGCGAACCGGTACCAGTACTGGCGGTGCACAACACACCCAGTACCGGTATTGCCAGTATCAGACTACACTACATGTCAGAGCTGGGTGGCCAATACCCGATGCTTGGTCCTCAGGAAAAATGCCCAGTGGCGCACCTGGAGAGAATGGGGGATTCGGGATGCTGGGTGACTATTTTTGAGGCGCCTCAAAAATGGATTCGGGATGCTGGGTGAATTCAGAAAATTGATAAGATCATGCCCGGTCACAGAAAGGGCGAATTAGAGAGAAAAATCGAAGAGTTGGGGGCGGGGAGTGGGCAGGAATCGAGGGGGTAGGGGAAGAGAAGGAGAGGGGAAGGGAGGGAATGAGAAGGGGAAGAGGAGTGGGTGGGGGTGGGGTAGATGTGGCAATCACCTGGCCGGCGCCTGTTCTGGGGTCGGTGGTGGACAGCTTGGTTGCAGCGGCCTGCAGCCACCTCAGAAATTCCAACATTGCGTGTGCTGACGTGGCACGCTGCGATGGGCCGAGGCACACGTCGAGCAGGTAGAGCTTGTGCAGCAGCAGGGGGAGGTCACACTCGGGGGAGGTGGGGTTGTTGGCGGGATTCGATACGAAGGAGGATAAGATCTGATCTGTTGACAGCTGGATGGGCGGCGGGGTGGGATCAGCTGCTGGCGATGGTACCTCCCCTTTCTCCTGCCATGGGGGGTGAGAAATCACAGGGGGTGAGGGGAGGGAGGAGGGGGAAGGGAGAGGAGGGGAGAGAAGAAGAGTTCTCTCAGCTCAATCGGGTGCAGTGTAGCTGTGCTCAATCAACAAGCACTCACCACCAGCAGCTGCAGCACGAGAGCAACAAAGAAGTGGCAGAAGCGACAGCATACACGGTATTTGAGCACAGAGCCACAAAACATCCTTCGGAGCCGTATAATGGATCTCCGGTCGTATAATGGATGCTCAAAATTACTATTTTTGAGGCGCCTCAAAAACAAATCATCCTTCGGAGCCGTATAATGGATGTTCAAAATTACTCACCATCAGCTGCAGCATCAAAGCAGCGCACAGGTGCCGGAAGCGCGAGCAAAGAGGGGAGGCAGCAGGGAGGGCGAGGGTGAGAGGGAGAGCGGCAAGCCACCAGTGCGTGCCAGGTGGCGGAATGTGATTGATGGACGGTGGAGCATCAGGTGAAGTCGTGGCACGGAGCGAGGCTGGGTCTGCGGACATGGCCCTGCAGAGCGAGTGAAAAAACAAACAAACAAACAAACAAGGTTTTTTTTATCTCTCTCTCTCTTTTCTTTCTTTCCAGCACCGGCATCTCCCCAGGCTCTACTTCCACCTGATCCATTGACAATGGGTGCAGGTGGCGATGGCATCCAGCACTCTGAACACGGCACCACAGAGAGCCAGCAGCTGAGAATGGTCTGGAAGGAGACTAGGGGGGGAGACATGCACCACGGGGGGGAGACATCCTCCCTCCCTTGCCATCCAGCACTTACCAGAGAAAGCAGTGGGTGAATCGGTCCTTATTTAAAGGGCCTGGACGACCCCCAAGGCTGCAGCGAGCGATGGCAGCCAGTGCTCTGAGCGCAGCCGTGTGGAGCGGCAGCAGCTGAGAATGGTCCGCCAGGAGATGGGAGACGCAAGGGGGCGAAACACCCTCCCTCCCAATCCAGCACTCACCAGAGAAAGCGGAGGGCGAATCAGTCCTCGTTAAAAAAAACTGGACGGCCACTACTGCTGCTGCAGCTGGCGATGGCAGCCAGTGCTCTGAGCGCAGCCGCGTGGAGCGGCAGCAGCTGGGAATGGTTCGCCAGGAGTTGGGAGACGCACCGCGGGGGAAAGCCCTGCCCTTCCCACCCAGCCAACATAGGCACTCACGAGACGAAGCGGTGGCCGAATGGCTCCTCATGCAAAAAGCCGGGACGGCTCGTAAGGCTGCAGGTGGCGATGGCAGCCAGTGCTCTGAGTGCCACAGCGTGCATGGGCAGCAACTGGGAATGGTCCGCTAGGAGATGGGACAGGCACCACAAGACAGGGGAAAGCCCTGCCCTTCCCACCCAGCACTCACCAGAGGAAGCGGTGGGCGAATCGGTCCTCGCTGAGGAAGCCTGGACGGCCCCTCTGGCTGCAGCTGGCGATGGCAGCCAGTGCCCCGAGTGCCGCAGCGTGCAGAGGCAGCAGCTGGGGATGGTCCGCCAGGAGATGGGCAACACACCAAGGGGGAAAGCCCCGCGCATTTAACCAGCACTCACCAGAGAAAGCGGTGAGCAAAGAACTCCTCGTTGAGGAAGCCTGGACGGCCCCTCTGGCTGCAGCTGGCGATGGCAGCCAGTGCCCTGAGTGCCGCAGCATGCAGCGGCAGCAGCTGGGGATGGTCCGCCAGGAGATGGGAGGCGTGGAGAAAGAGGAGGGCGAGGTGGGACTGGGGCAGTGAGGGATTACTTCGCAAGGACTGACGAGGACGGGGGGTGGAGGAGGAGGAGGGAGGAGAGGGAGGGGGAGGGTGTGTAGAGGAGAATGACTGCCCGATGCAGATAGAGGTGATGGTCTTTAGAATCAGCCCCGACTTGTGGAGTCGTGCTGATACCATGGCTTTGGTTGATGCCAACGGTTTTGTGGTGTGCAGAGTGGTTCGGAGATCAAGAGCTGACACGTCCTCAGCAGCAGCAGCAGGAATGGCGGCAGTAGCAGCACTGGGAGCAGAAGAAGGAACAGGAAGAGCAGCAGCAGCATGTGTGGCAGCAGCAGCAGGTGGTGCTTGTGGGTCCGAAAGTGTCTCCATATCCTTTCCTTTCCCTATATCGTTTGCTGTGTCTATGCCCCATCCTGTATCTATACCCTTTCCTGACTCTACTGCTTTCGCGGCACGCCTATGCTCGCCCCTGCCCGTCTCTGGGTCATACCCCATGGCTGCTTGATCTCGGTAGAGGAGAGATGGAGAGAATCCGACGGCCAGCAGAGCTGCTGCCAGGTCAGCGTACCCCGGGAGCCAACCAGGAGCCAGAGGGGGCAGAGGAAGGGAGGTGGCATGCGGGGAGGGTGAGGCGGTAAAAGGGGGTTGGAGAGAGGAGGAGGAGGAGGAGGAGGAGGAGAATGGAGTGGGGGATGAGCCGATGATAGGGAGGGGAGGAGAGGAGAGGCCCATGGTTGGGGAGAAGACGAAGGGGAGAATTTTCTCAACTTCTGCTGTAGTTTCTTCTGCTGCTGACCCTCTGGCTTTTGTAGCTGCTCGTGCTGCTGCTGCTGCTGCTGCTGCTGCTGCTGCTTCTGCTTTTCCAGCTTTTGCTGCTGCTGATGATGGCGGTGCTGTTGGTGGTGGTGAGAGAGCAAGGTGGCAGAGCAGGGAGCAGGCTGCAGTGTCGACTCGATCGTTGCTGGACAGAACCACTGGGAAGGAAGGGGGGACAGCAAAGGGTGAGGGGAGGGAAAGGGAACGTTGTGACTTTTGAGTCAATTCAAAAGTCACCTTGATAGCAAAGGGTTTTTGAGGCGCCTCAAAAAACGTTGTGACTTTTGAGTCGACTCAAAAGTCACCTTGATAGCAAAGGGTGAGGGGAGGGAAAGGGAAGAGGTGGACATGAGAGGAGGAGAGCACAAGTGAGCGAGCAGGGAAGTGCTGGAGTGCGAGATGAAAGGGCGAGGTGGGAGATCCGGGAGCAGGCTGCAGTGTTGACCAGATCGTTGCTGGACCGAACAGAACCACTGGAGACGACGGAGGAGATAGGGGATGGAGGGATGGGATAGAGAGGGAGCTGAGTGGTTGGAATGAGGTGGTGTGTGTGTGTGGCAGATGGCAGCTCACACACACCAGGTGGCAGATCTGCCTGGGAGCAAGGTGGCAGATTAGGTAGCAGGCTGCAGTGTTGACCCGATCGTTGCTGGAGAGAACCAGTGGGAGAAAGGGGGGGGTGGGATGGACAGGCGGAGACAGAAACAATTTTTTAGGCGCCTCAAAAATTGGGGATGGGATGGACAGGCAGAGACAGAAACACCTAACTCATGCACATGGGTGGTGCAGGCAGTGTGCGGTGCTGCGGTGCAGGCAGTGGGCGGTGCAGGCAGTGGGCGGTGCAGGCAGTGGGCGGTGACCCAACACAACAAGACTTGGCGGAGGACCAAAAGGCGTACTCATTCATTCTGCGCGAATACCCGCCTCAAAAGGTCGCCACTAACTCGTGCACAAGTCACCAGCTCCTCCGCCTCTGCCTCATCCCCACCCATCCTTCAAAGTGCCTCAAAGTAATGCATGGGCAAGCAACGCAAGGCGTACACTCACTCTGTGCGAAGACTCGTCTCAACAAATCTCCACCAAATTGTGAACAACTCACCAGCTCCTCTGCCTCTGCCTCATCCCCACCCATCCTTCAAATCGGAAGCGAATACAAGCAATGCACAGGCAAGCAAGGCGTACTCACTCTGTGCGAAGACCCGTCTCAAAAGATCTCCACTAACTCGTTGATTTTGCAGCGTGTTTTTTAGAATTCTCAAAAACACCCTGCAAAAGCAAGGCGTACTCACTCTGTGCGAAGACCCGCTTCAGCAGATCTTCACTAACTCGTGAACATGCTGACAGCTCCTCTGCATCATCCCCATCCTTCTCCCGTGCCTCTTCCCCTTTCTCCCCTTCTCCTCCCTTCTCCTCTTGCCTCTCCTTTCCCGACTCCTGTTCGCCTTTCTCGCCCTTGCCTTGTTTCCCCTCCTCCTCTCCACCCCCTTTCCTTTCCGCCTTCGTCCTGTTCAGTTGTTGGGTGCATTTCGCCCGCAAGAGAGCAGGCAGAAGGCCAGGCGCCAGCAGGGCGGCAAACTTGTTAGAGGGAAGAAGGGAGAGGTCAGCTCCAAGGGACTTAGGTGATGCTCCTGCTTCTGCTTCTGATTCTGATTCTGCTGCTGCTGCTGGTGCGGAGGGAGTGGGTCTTTTCTCCCATCGTTGCTGAAAGCTGAGAAGATAGCTGGAATCCACGCTTCCGTTAAGGACCTGATGGAAGATAGCCATGAGCCACGGACATTCATTGAATTGAACACATTGAATTGAACACATTAAATGAACACGGCACGCCATGGCACCATGCATTGACACCAGCTCAGAAAACATTAGGCACACTCCTTAAAGACATGTCGGAGTGGCAAAGCCTAAGCTGCAACATTAGGCAGGCACGCGCCTCGACTGTACAGTACGTGCGCACGCAACTCACACATTGTCGCAAGCTCTCTTCTCACAAAGTACCACGGACATACCTTGGGTTGCACGCACACAAGGACGGAGGCAGTTGCGGGAAAGGGCGACTGTGAAAGAACACGAGGGATCTCTCCCGCTTCTCCTCCCCCTTGTCCTCCGTCTTCTCCTCCTCCGCCCCCTCCTGGTTCTTCCACACCAGCTTCAGAGGCAGCAGCAGCACCACCACCACCGCCAGAAGCACCAGCAGCACCAGCACCAGAACCAGCGGCAGCAGCAGCAGCAGCAGTTGATGAGGCGAGGTGGGCGTTGACTAGATACTCATGCAGAGGCATGCCGTGGGCCTCCACGAGCTGGGGGGGGAAGGGGAGGAGGGGCAGGACAGGACAGGGGTAGAGGGGGAGGGAGGGGAGAGGGGTTGCACCTTGCAAGGATGCAGCAGCAGCGGTTGATGAGGCGGGATGGGCGTTGTTGACTGGGTATTCATGGCGGGGCATGCCGTGAGCCTCCTCCACGAGCTGGGGGGAGGGAAGGGGGAGATGAGGGCGGAGATAAGGGCGGAGATAAGGGCGGGGATAAGGGCGGAGATAAGGTACTCATAGAGAGGGGCATGCTGAGGGGGCCCTCTACCGCCGTCTGCACTTGCTTCAGCGCGTCTCTCAACCCCCGTGCTCCTCATCCTTCATTATCCCCCTCCTGGTCGTCTGAACAGTGAACACTCACATATATCACCACCACCCCCTGCCTTACTTACCTGCTGGCAGCTCTCCACGGCCGTCTGCACTTGCTTCAGCGCGACTCTCAACGCCCTGTGCTCCTCGTCCTCCTCGCTATCCCCCTCCGCCTCCTCTGCCCCCTCGTGCTTCCTCGCCTCCACTTTCTTTTCGCCAACCCCCCTCATCCACTCATCCTCCTCCTCCTCCTCCTCCTCTTCCTCCACCTCCTCCTCGTCCTCCCCTTTATCCTTATCCTCCTCCTCCTCCTCCTCCTCCTCCTCCTCCTCCTCCTCCTCCTCCTCCTCCTCCTCCTCCTCCTCCTCCTCCTCCTCCTCCTCCTCCTCCTCCTCCTCCTCACCCCCTTTTCGACCTCCACGTCCCCCCCTGCGCCTCCCCTTCGCCTCTTTCACCCCCTCTTCCCGCCCCTCCGCAACACCACTACCAGCTAAACCATCATTTGCTACCACGCCTTGACTCCTCTCTTCTTCTCTCCCCTCTGCTACCCCCACTGTTGATCCCACGGCCACTCCCCTCTTGGAAGCACTTCTCCCCCGTCTCAACCCATAAATCGCAGCGGCTTCTGCAGCAGCAGCAGGAGCACCTTTCACCGTCCCTTTATCTCTCCCACTCCCACTCCCTCTCCCTCTCCCACTCCCACTCCCACTCCCACTCCCACGCCCACTCCCACGCCCACTCCCTCTCCCTCTCCCCCTCCCTTTACCTCCATCCTCCGCCGTTTCTCCTCTCCCCTCCTCTTTACCCTCGCTCCTTTCTCCCAGCTGTCTCTTGCTTCCCTCCTCCTCCCCCTCCTCCCCCTCCCCTCCCCCCTCTCTTTTCCTTTTACCGGCTCGCTCCTTCTCCTCCTCCTCAGCCTTCCTAGCAGCAGCAGCAGCAGCCGCCCATTGCGCTTTAAGCTGCTTCGTTTTAAGAGCCTCCTGCACCAGATCGTCCATATCGAATTTACGCCTGAGATATAGAAACAGGGGAGGACGAGAGGGCTTTTGAGGCGCCTCAAAAGTCGTCTCCTGCACCAGATCGTCCATATCGAATTTACGCCTGAGATATAGAAACAGGGGAGGACGAGAGGGCAGGAGGGATGGGAAAGGGACGGGGGGATGGAGGGGCAGCAGCAGCAGCAGCAGCAGCAGCAGCAGCAGCAGCCCAATGTGCTCGAACCTGCTCCATCCCGAAAAGCTTCTTGTGGGAGATGCTTTTAGGTTCCTGGTTCGGACATGCACGCAGAAACAGGTCAAAGTGCGCCTGGAAAGCAAGCAGGGTGGGCGAAATGGACGAGGGTTAGGGCGCGAGCGGAAAAAGGGGGAGGAAAATTGGGCGACTCTCAATAGTCAGGAGCGGAAGGAAGGCTAAATGGACGAAATGGATCCGGGGATCCGCGGAGACGAGGGAATGCGCACTTGCGAGCTTTGGGAGCGGGAGCGACGGTGGGTCCGTCGCCTGCGACAGAGTCGCCAGCTCGCTTGCCTCTCGCGCGACTGCGCCCGCGACCCCCGCGACCCCCGCGAACGTCCATGTTCGTTGGGCGCGACACCGATCGCCCGACAGCTCACTCGGCGACACGACCGCCGCCTGGTTGTTGCTTACGAAACACGTCGCTAACTGGTTACTAAGTGAGGCAGTCGCCGACGTGTTGCTTACCAAGCTCGCGTTGCGAACCGCATGGCTAATTCCGTCACTAAGTGCGTAATGAGGCGATAGAGAGACCTGTGCTGGTTGCTAAGTCCTAGTAGAACTGGTTAGGCTGCTAGGCTGCTAGACTGATAGTCTGCTTCGCTGCTAGGCTGCTGTAGTGTTCAGCTGTGAAAAAGTGAGATATCTAGGTAGGTTTTGCTTGCCAAAAAGTGTATCACCAACCGCCCTAAAAGCACAAATCTCGAAATGGCAATATTGTATCTGGAGCTGTGATCCGATACAGAGAGAATTATCAGGGAACGTCTGGCGTACGGGGATGTAGAGAAAAAGCCGCAAAATCAAGGATGTAAGTAAATATACACCTTACGTCAAACCTTGTTTATCGTTACGCTTGTACACATAAGGATGCGCTTGTAAAGCGTCGGTCTCTCGTAGGATCAACCTCCATATCGGATCTCCACCTCCCCTTTGAAGCACATAATCCTCCCCCATAAAATGGCATCTGACCATCTCAGCCCATAGCTTTTCCCCTCGTTCAGTAGGTTGGTCATAATCTTGACTCCCCTCACCGACCATTATTCTCTAGGTGACTGGCCCGTTAGAGACTATTCGCGGAGCAGTCAGCTATGTCGATCTGAAGCCGCGTGACCCGTCATTAGCGTTTTATTGTATCCCCGTTGCACTCTCGTTAGTAAACGGCTGGTTACCCGACCAGTAGAAACCGCGACGAAATCCGAGCGAGCTTTCGCGAAATCGTCGCGAAAATGTCGTCGGAAATGTCGCCGCCCAATAAGAAGCGGACGTCGGAGCGGCAGATCACGAAGGACGACTTCCAGGAAGACGACAACGAGGAGCCATCAGGGTCAAACCCCTGGGCGGGAGGGTTTCAGAAAGCTTCTAACGAGGTAATGGCCTCTCGGCGCATCGTTAAAGCGCGGCGGCCCGCAGCAGGTGCCGGCGCGCCTCCCGCTCCCGCTGCTCCCGCCGCCGCTGCGCCGCCGGAAAAGCCGGCGCCGGCGGCGGCTGACGTGGCAGGAGGATCCGACGTGGCGGAAGCGAAGGAGCAGGCGGAGGATGAGGGGACGGAGGAGGTCAGCTCTGGCGGCAAGCGCGCGAAGAAGGCACGGCCCGACGGCGAGGAGGCGGCGGAGGATGCGGAGAAGAAGGCGGAAGATTCTGCGAAGGAGGGCGAACAGGCGGGAGGGAAGTCGGCGGAGGGGGAGGGGGAGAAGAAAACGGCGGAGGAGAAGATTGAAGAGGACAAGGCGGCGGCGGAGAAGGAAGGATCGGGGGAGAGCGAGAAGCAGGAGGCGAAGGCGGAGGGAGCAAATGCAGCAGCAGCAGCAGCGGGGGGAGCAGCAGCGGGGGAAGCCGCAGCGGGGGGAGCAGCACCTGCTAGCGCGTCTGGCTTCGGGGGATTTGCGGCGGCTGCTGCGGGAGTCAACCCCTTCCTCTCCTCCTCCACCTCCCCTTCCGGCGGCTTCGCCTCCTTCTCCTCCTCCGCCTTCTCCTCGCCCTTTTCCGCCGCCTCCGCATCCTCCCCCTTCTCCTTCACCTTCCCCGCCACCACGTCCGCCTCCCCCGCCGCCGGCGCCGGCGGCGCCGGAGCCTCCGCTGCGGGCGGCGGGTCGTCGATTTTCCCCGCGGTGTCGAGCATCTTCGGGTCGGGCGCCACAGCCAATGGGAGCAGCGCAAGTGGCGCGATCGGCGCGATTGGCGCTACTCCGGGCCTGGGGATCGGGTTCGGCAGCAGCAGCGGCGGGGGAGGTTTGGGCGGCGGCGCGCCAGCTGTCACGCTGTCGGAGGTCCACGTGGCGACGGGGGAGGAGAAGGAGCGCGCGGTTTTCGCGGCGGATGCGACGCTGTTCGAATTCGGGGAGGGGGGGAGGTGGAAGGAACGGGGGAAGGGTGAGGTAAAGCTGAATGTGCATGTAGCGGGGGAGGAGGAGGGGAAGGAGGGGGAGGAGGGGGAGGAGGGGGAGGAGAAAGAGGAGAAGAAGGAGAAGGTAGGGAAGGAAGGGGCAGAGGAGGGAGGGGAGGAGAAGAAGGAGGAGGAAAAAGAGGAGAAGGGGGAAGAGAAGACGGAGGAGGAGAAGGATGGGAAGGAGGGAGAGGAGGGAGGTAACGACACGTCAGCAGAAAAGGCCAAAGCCACGGAAAGGCGGCCGGCACGGCTGGTGATGCGAGCGAGGGGCAACTTCCGTCTTCTTCTGAACGCGAATCTTTTTCCGGATATGAAAGTCACCAGGATGGATGGGCGGGGAATTTCGTTTGCTTGTGTGAACAGTACTGGGGAGGAGAAGGAAAAAGAGAAGGAGAAGGAGAAGGAGAAGGAGAAGGAGAAGGAAGGGGGTGCTGTAGCAGGGGCAAGTGCGGCGGCTGCCGGATTGACCATGCTGGCTCTTCGTTTTAAGGACGTGGCTCATACAGAGGAGCTGCTGTCGCTCATTAACGAGAACAAGGGCGGGAAGGGAAAGGATGCTTCAGAGAAAGGCCCTGATGCTGCAGAGGCAGAAGAGGGGGGAAAAGACAAGGGGAGCGCACAAGATAAGGAAGGGAAAGAGGATGGGGAGGGGGAGAAGAAAGTTGAGGGGGAGGAGGGCGGGGACAAGGCCACTGCGGAATGAGCAGCAGACGAGCAATGTGGTGGCAGAAAGAATTCCTGTAAGTGGATTTAAGTTGTTTCATGGCTCCACACTAGGGTGTGTCATACTAGGGTGTGCCATACTAGGGTGTGCCATACGAGGGTGTGCCATACTAGGGTGTGTCATACTAGGGTGTGCCATACTAGGGTGTGCCATACGAGGGTGTGCCATACTAGGGTGTGTCATCCTAAGGCGTGCCATTGCCCTGCTAATTGTGTGATTCACTGCGCCGCTGCCCCGTCTGCTGTTTCGCCTTCCACCAGTCACACCACCCCACAGCTCCTAATGTGGCTTCCCCTGTAGGTGACTTTTGAGTCGACTCAAGAGTCCACTGCGCCGCTGCCCCGTCTGCTGTTTCGCCTTCCACCACTCACCCCACCCCACAGGTGTATTTTGAGTCGACTCACGCTTCCACCAGTCACCCACCCCACAGCTGTTGAGGCGCCTCAAAAGCTGTTTCTCCTTCCACCACTCACCCCACCCCACAGCTCCTAATGTGGCTTCCCCTGTTTACTGCAAGTGGCTGGCAAGTTCCAAGCGGTTGCAACTTGACAGCTTGTCAAGCCAGCGCCATTTACTGCTGCTTGAGCATGTCGTCGTCAAGCCAAGTCGTTCCTCCACATCTGCGTGGTTCTAGGCAATTTGGCGCGGAACCGCACATCGTCAAGAGGGCTTCAAATTCAAGTCCAAGTCCTCAACAAGACATGCTCCTTCAGGGCCTCTCGCTGAGCTGAGCAGCCTCTCTGAGAGTTCTGTTGTGTGCTGTGCGATAGCCTTGAACCTGCTCGAACTCCCTTGCTCATTCATTCTTCTCCTAGGTGTGTGTGAGTGCATTGGTTGGTTGCCGTTTACCGGACTCAATATTTCTGCCAGACTCAATATTTCTGCCGTTAGAGCGTAGGTTGCTGTTTGCTGGGCCCCATTGTGTTTTGCCTCAGCAGCAGCTTTTGGACCCAAGATTATGGAACAACACATGCATACCTACCTATCGTTAAAATACGACTTCTTCTTAATGGGAGTTTAGAGCACCTTTCTAAGGCCTCCTCCCCAAGCAAGCCTCTTCCCAGACTCGCCCCTCTCCCCGGAATCCTCTGGCAATGCCGAGAGAGACTAACCCCGCATCGCACCACGCAGAACCGCAGGCACCAAAATTGCATTGCACTGTAGCGCACAAGTCTGGGAAGAGGCCATAGGTCCTACAGGCCTCTTGTCAGACTCGCACGTCGCTGTGCAGTGCAAGTTTGACGCGAGTTGGTTCAATGCGGTGTAGTGTAGAGACTGATAAGGGGAGTCTGATAAGAGGCCCGTAGGATCTCGCTCTTAGTGCCATTTGCAGAATCCTAGGCTGACATGGCAAGATGCAACTGGTCTGTTGAAGAGCGATGGGTCTGTTAGTGTGTTGACCATCGTAAAGAACAAGATAACCCCCCCAACAAATGTTGCGCATATCACTGCCAGAGGGGGGGAGAGTGGTAGGTATTAGAGAGAGGAAGCCGATGGTTAGACAGCTTCAGCAAGCAATACTGAGAAGGCCTATACTATTGCACTGAACATTGGAAGGGGAGAAGGGGAGGTGGGGGGGGGGGAGGGAGGGGGGGAGGGGGGAAGAGGAGGGGGGGGAAGAGATGGGGGGGGAAGAGGAAGGGGGGGGAAGAGGAAGGGGGAGGAAGAGGAAGGGGGGGAAGAGGAAGGGGGGGGAAGAGGAAGGGGGGGGAAGAGGAAGGGGGGGAAGAGGAAGGGGGGGGAAGAGGAAGGGGGGGGAAGAGGAAGGGGGTGTGCCAGTGCCTACTGCGACGAATGTTCAGAACGAGAGGCGAAGCCGTAGGCAGTCTGGCAGGGGAGCGTGCTGGTGCCCTAATGGCACGGGCTAACTTGCTTCCGCCGGCTCACACTGGCAAGCACTGGCCAACACTTGCTGCATTGCTGTGCAAATGGCTGGCTACAGGTCCCGTGCCCCTGTGCCCCTGAGCCCCTGTGCCCCTGTGCCCCTGTGCCCCTGTGCCCCTGTGCCCCTGTACCCCTGTGCTCCCCACGGCATTGCAGTGTAACTGCTACAGGAACCTTTGGTTGTGATCGTGTTGCACCAATGGGTGTGTGATTGTGTGTGCGTGGAAGCTTCCAGTGCCTGTGTCTGTGTGCGACTGCTGCTTGGAAGTCCAGCACCCCCATGGCGTTGCAGAAAGCATGCACAAAGGGGGGGTTGCTGGTGTGTAAGGGCTTACAGTGCCTGTGTCTGTGTGCGACTGCTGCTTGGAAGTCCGGCACCCCCATAGCGTTGCAGAAAGCATGTGCTGCCACCGCTGCCCACACGCTCCCTGATCTCAGAATAATGAAAGCAGCGAGGCAGCCAAACACCCACGTGAAGGCCATTTGGAAACCTGAGGGAAAGAGGGAGAGGAAGGAATCGAAGGGGGAAGAGAGGAGAGAAAAGAAAAGGACGGAAAGAGAAATAGTGGTTTCAAACGGAAGCAAAGTGGGACAGCAAAACGAGGAGAAAAAACTTGCCCGAGAGGAGAGAAGTACGGTTGTGAACCACGGTTAGAAAAGGCAAAGCAACGGTAGGGAAAGAGGCCCTCGGTAGACACACCAACCATGGCAATAGCCCGGGGAAGAGAGCAGCGATGGTAGTGGACCAGATTCCAGATGTGATGCACGTGGGCTGGGATGGAGGGGGGGGGGGGGGAGGGAGGATAGATAGAGAGAAGACTCACAAACGGAAGGGAGCAGCGATGGTAGTGAACCAGATTCCAGAGGTGATGCACGTGCGCTGTGATGGGGCGAGGGGGGGGAACGGGGAGAGGGGGAAGGGGGGAGTCTATGTTTAAGTGCGCTGACATGGGGGGGAATAGAGAGGCAGTGGAGTGGCTTAAACAGCGTAAAAGGGTGAGGCTTGAAGCGTGTGGAATGGAAAGGGCAAAAGGGCAATATTATGTTCCAAAAAGGGCGAAAAATGTCCCATAATAATTGCACGCAGAGCACAGCAGGAAACCATTGGGATCAGGAGAGCACCTAGGCTGAAAAAAAGCGGGCAGATGAAAACCAAGGAGGTGACCGAGAAGCCGCCCGCAAGCAGAAGTGGGCAGAGGGCTGCCCGGAAAACAAACTCCTCGCTGAGAGGCGCCTGTTGGGTGGAGGGGCAGAAGGTGAATGCAGGAGTCTATTTTTGAGGCGCCTCAAAAATAGACTCCTCAGCCAGAAGATGAATGCAGGAGGGGAGCGAAGAGGGTTCGAAGGAGCGAAGAGGTGTTTTATAGATTTCTCAAAAACAACCTGCAAGTACAAAGGAGACATAGCGGGAGAGCGCAAAATAGGTGAATGTGACGTGAATGCAAGAAGAAAGCTGCTGCTGCTGCTGCTGCTGCTTCTAGGAGAGCGCAAACGAAAGAAGGACAGCAAAATGCAGCAACAGCAGCAGCAAAGATTTCATTCACATGATCACATCACATCACACCCAAACGACTCACAATAAGTTCCCTTCCTCCCTCTCCCACCCCAGCGCTTCTCACCGCTACTAGGTTGCGGGCAAGCAGCAGCACAACCATACCCAACCCCAGCACACCACCAACAACCCCAGCACCAGCACCAGGGCCAGGTTGGGGCGCACAGCAGCAGATCGCGCGGATGTAACGGCAGCAAGTAAAGCTGGACACACTTGCACCACCATCCGCAAACCCACCACCATCACCACCACCACCACAACCTTCATCACACATCTCACCACCAGCAGGTTGCGGGCGTGCAGCAGCAGGTCGTATGGTTGTAACGGCAGCAAGAGAGGCTTGGACACACTCGCAGCACCATCCGCATCCACGACCCCAGCACCATCAGCACCTGATAGAGCCCTGTAATCCTGATGCTTATGGTGATGCTGATGCCTGTCCGCCGCTAGGGTTTGGAGCCAGTTGGCAGCAGAGAGGGCGAGCGGGCCGAGGAAGAGGAGAACCACCAGGAGGAGAGGGAATGCGAGGGAGGGGAGCTGGCGGGGGAGAGTGGGGGGGGAGTGGGGGGAGAGTGGGGGGAGAGTGGGGGAAAGGGGGGGAGAGGGGGAATGGGGGAGGGGGAGTGCACTGTAGTCACGATTATCCCTGTGGCCTGTGCCTGTCAGCCGCTAGGGTTTCGAGCCAACCCCCAGCAGAGAGAGTGATAGGGGCGAGGAAGAGGAGAAGCACAAGGAGGAGAGGGAAGGCGAGGGAGGGGAGCTGGCGGCTGGTTGTTTGGGAGGGGGGGGGACGGGGAAATGCGGGAGAGGGGGAACGGGGAACTGAGGGAGAGGGGGAACGGGGAAATGAGGGAGGGGGGGAACAGGGAAATGAGGGAGGGGGGGAACAGGGAAATGAGGGAGTGGGGGAGCAGGAGGGGGAGCGGGGGGTGGAGGGCGAGAAGTGAGGGGGATTTGAACGAGTGTATTTGATTGGATCTCGGAGAAAGCACGAGCTGGGTTCCCTGCATTAAGTGTGCTGCTTATAACAGAGGCATGTCTGCTTGTAACGAAGACAGGTCTTGATGCTTTTAACGAAGCCAGGTGTTGATTCTTTTGACGAAGGCACGTGTAGCTTACCAGATAATCAGGCTGAAGGGAGAGAACTCGAGGAATGGAGGGTAGAGGCACATGGCTGTCGACCAACTGCAACGCGCCACGTGGCACACACACAGGGAGAGCAGAAACACGCAGCGCAGAGCACGCAGAGGGAAGGGGGAGGAAAGAGGGAGAAGTCGGGTTAACGAGAAGGAAGGAATATGGTGAGAGGCGACTATTATCGAGGCGCCTTAAAAATAAACTCCTCACAGAATAGACTCCTTTTTTGAGACGCCTCAAAAATAAACTCCTAACGCAGAGGGAGGGGGGAGGGAAGGGAAGAGGGCGAGGTCGAGGTCGGGATAACAAGAAGGAATATGGTGAGAGGCCATGAGAGGCACTTTGCTTTACAATGCCCTATATATGTTGAGAGTCTAGTTTTGAGGCGCCTCAAAACTATATGTTGAGTGAACACTAAGTCGCATAGGGGGGATAAGATTCAGTTGTATTTTGAGTCGACTCAAAATCAAAACTATATGTTGAGTGAACACTAAGTCGCATAGGGGGGATAAGATTCACCCCTTGACTGCGTGTAGATTGGATTGGATTCGATGCGGATAGGGGATTTATCATGCGAGCACACTAGCTGAGACCTACCAGGCCGGATTTTGCGGCAGCCGCGACAATAGCAGCTGACGCCAGGCAGGAGCCAAGCACGCTCGTGATTCGCTGGCACACGACACGTGGCTCGTCGCGATTGGCCGGTGGAGCTCCACGGAGGAGGCGGGGAATGTCCCATACGTAAAGGGAGAGCACGAAGAGGGAGGAGATTAAAGCGCATAGCAGCACGGAGAGAAGCGGTGTCATGAGTGGAAGCAGCAATAGGAGAATAATATGCTGATAGATGCTCAAGCCATTCGCGTGATAGGAGTCTAATTTTGAGGCGCCTCAAAACTACACTTCTATCACCCTGGAAGCAGCATTAGGAGAAGACTGCTGATAGATGCTCAAGCCAGTCGCGTTATCATGCTGCTATCAGTGTCAGGGACCTCAGGTTTACGAACAAGGCGCGGCTTCCATGCGCTTATCTACTCTCTACGGGAATCAAGGCGTCCTGCCTATTCGTCCCCATGCCATGCGCCCATTTCCCTTAGTACTGTGGTGTCAGTGTGAGGGCTTTGCGAAACCATGTTACGATCTCAGTAATTAACTACCCACAGTTTCAGACTCAGGGTACGCTCTCAAATATTCCCGTGATGTGAGACGGTGGATCAGAAATACCCTCGAATTCGACAATGTGTTGGGGGATGTAGGTATGGTACAGCTGCGAGCGAAAGCGACACTGGAAAGTGCTAACCAATCTATCGCGGACTAGACCACCTTTGGCGAGAGCTGGTTACCCTGGACGTGACGTATCAGCGGGCTTGGATATCCACATTGACGACGTGCGTGTGTGTCGCAAATACTTTTCCGGTTACAGCGTCCCCCACCTGGTTCTGAGGAAACGAAACAGGTTAATTTATGGTATTTTCCTATTTTTTGGGGCTGCTAGTTTGGGTCCGTCAGTTTGAGCACTTGCATTTCCGTCTCCCACTGGACCACTCTGCGACTCCGTAGTTCCTTCCTCCTGCGCACACGCGGATCAGGCTGCTGCTGCGACTCGCGCATGACAGCTATGATTACGCTTTCACTCGACGTTCGGCGTATGTTAGGGAGCGGTTAATCGTTAGCGGCTTATAGTTAGGGGCTCATCCTGACCGTCTACTTGGTTCCTTATATTTATACAGCTAGCAGGTCTGGTAAGGGGCTTTCTGCGATGTCCGACCTCCATAGAGGCGTCCGCGCTATAGAGAAGGAGAGGCAAGGAGCCTCGAAAGCGCCATCAAACCATGCCCTGAAGCAGCAGATATTCTCGTTAGTAGCTTTTGAGAATTCCCTAAAGCGGCAGCTGACCTCGTTCGTTTCTGAGACGGCGGCAGTAGCGGCTCACGTGGGGAGGTCTACGCGTTCCACGGTAAGAGGGGTCTGCTTTTGCGTCAAGTCATAAGTTACCACGGTAAGAGGGGTCCGCTGTGAATGTGCGTGACGCTAGGAGGCACCTCTGAGAAGGCGGCGGCAGTAGCGGCTCACGTGGGGAGGTCTACGCGTTCCGCTGTAAGAGAGATCTGCTTTTGAGTCGGGTGATAAGTCAGAAGTCACCACGGTAAGAGGGGTCTGCTGCGAATGTGCGTGACACTACCAGGCACCTTTGAGACAGGCGGCAGAAGCGGCACACCACACACATGGGGAGGTCGACGCGTTCCGCTGTAAGGAGTGGTTTTGACTTTGGTTGATTACTCTTTGGCTTTCTTTGACTGGGTCAGCTCGTCTCTAACTGGCGTTGACCCTGCTGACTGCCCTCTGACCTGTATTGACCTGCGTTGACCAGCAACTGGACGAGGCGTGCAAGGCCATGGAGAGCAGGAGCACGCTCATGGCAACCACAGAAGAGGTGAGCCCGGGAGGAGAGGGGAGTAGAGTAGGTCTGAGTTTCCGCGTTTTGTTTTCATCCTGTGTTATTTTAGCATAATAATCATCTCAACAACGTGAGACTTTAAGCCAGGCTTGAGCAGAAAGTAGGTTAAGTGTCCCTCCCTGCGGTTCTCCCATCTCCCTGTCCCCTCCATCCCGTCGACTCTCCCACTCATCCCAGCAGTCGATTCAGAAGATGCCAGCTGTCCTCAGCTCATTGGAGGCCTATCTGGACGAATCCATTGTGTGGTGCGTGTGTGTGGGGGTGGGAAGGAGGGGAGAGAGGGGGGGGGAGGTGGGAGAGAGGGAAGAAGAGAGAAAAAAAAGGGGAGAGAGAAGAGGGAGGGGGGGGGTGGAATGATGGGCTCAGAGGGAGTCAGGGGAAGGGAAAGTGGCAGGGAGGAAGAGGAGGGGCCAGGAAATGCAGGGGGGGGCATTTCTGGGGTAGAGAAATTGGTGGGAGGGCCCAAATTCCCAGTCCTCCCATGGCATCCACTCCATTCACTCAAGCCATGCCGCCATGTCATCGTCCCATTGCCAACCGCATCAGTCATACAAGTTCTTCATCACGTTAACCCCATGTCCTCTTCGTATCTCAATGTGCCTGTTTTTCGTCTGGCAGTGCGTCTGATCTGCTTCACGTGGCTCCCTTCCCGTCCCAACCACCTCAAGCGCCTTGCGCCTCTCAACCTCCCCAGCAATCTCAGCCATCCCACGCACCTCTAGCTCATCGAAGTTCAGCACCTTATCAGTCACCCCTTCCTCCCCAACTACAGTAACCACCTCAAATCCTGCAAGCCCCACACTTGCGGTATCACGCTAACCACAGAAACAACAGTATGCAGGGCAAGCAATTCAATCCTCACAGGATTGTCTATGATACCCGACCACATCAGCCACACCAATCGGAGCGATCAACCCTGGCTCCTCCATTATCCACCTGCACCCTCTTTGCTGGTTGCATTGCGTCCCCATTCACACCAATGGAATGTAACAGTTTGTATATATGTATTATGTATATAATCTTTTTGAGTAAGGACAAGTGGTTGCATGCATGAAATCACCTAGAATGTATATTTCTTGAAACTGCTTATGTGGGTAGCCTATTCAAGGAAGGATGAACCTTACCAGTGTATGGCCGGATTTTATATAACTTCTAGAGACAAAAGGTACTAACATGGCCTATGCAACAAAATATGCGCATGCATCAAAACCCCACCAACGTTTTCACAACATTTGCTCAACGCAGTTGTGGATGTGAATATACACATATCACTTGTACCAAGTGGAGAGAACACAAACGAGGAGGTTTGAAAAACTAGATGGCGGGAAAGTTTTTGAAATCTCCCCCGCCTTTGGGCGCATTTGGTGTTTGCAACAGAGACGAGAGCTTTTGAAGGCCACTTATTTCCGCGCGCCTCCCGTCATTCTGGCCTCCAGAAAGGGGATTCTGCTTTCTAAGATTTATCCACGTGGCCTATCGTACGGCCTGGTGCTATCGCTTGATTGCGTCGCATCTTCTTGGCCTCGAAAACCCCGGAAAAGCTCCGAGCCACACGCTGGCGCAAATCTGTGGTCGATGAATCCTGTTGAACCAACCACGCATTTTGGGACTTTATGTAGACGAGTTGCATGAGCAAATGCAGCACCATTGGTGCAGCCAGCAGTGGAAGGTCACATCAGTAAGCGTAGTTAGCCCTGCCTACACCTGAATTATGGGTAAAATATTGCAACCTGCGCTGTTTTTACTAAGCAGTATCAGACCCCCCTGGCTGAGTAAGAGCGTGGTAGCTACGGTCTGATTGTGCAGAAAGATCCATCCTGTCCTCAGGTGCGGGTCGAGAGCGAGCTCCTTCCCACTCCATGGTGGGACAACCTGGTCCGTTACCCTAGGCCTCCGCGCTCGTTGCTGACCGAGTCCCCTCGACATGTAACCTTCCTCGCCTTGTGACCAGCAGCCTCTCATGAAAGGTTTACTGAGTCGTTATCCTCTTCTTTTTTAGTAATTCACGTCCATACACTCTACTGTTTTTTAATTCAATCCTAAACCACAGTCTGATCCTTCGCTGGTTGGCATTCTGACAGATTCGGCAGCGCGGCATGAGGGCTGAAAGAGGAGGACCGCAATTTGTCTGACACCCCTTCAACAGCCACTTGACGGCGTCTGGTTTGGAATCCATGAGCTACGCAGCTGCGTCAGACTCGGAATAGCAGGAGCTACTAGAACCACAACCACCATTGCCATCCGCTGATCTGAGGCAGCTAGTCATAATTCGCTTTCCAGCCACATCCCATATCCCACATCCCGCATGCATCCCGCCGCATTCCACATCTACCATTTCCCGCATCCCCCCACATCCACATCCCCTTTCGCGCATCTAAAACCGCTGCGACGGCGCATCATACATCCTGAAAGCCGGGAGATCGGGGATTTGACGGATCCGAGTTAGCGTGTTCTCGGCAGCCTCGATGGCGGAAACCCGGGATGTGCGTGAGGGGAGGAATGACTCTTGGGGAGTCACCGAGGCTTACCTTCTCGCGGTGACTCCTCCTGACTGCGGAAAAGAATTCGCCTGACTGATGCATGGCTGAGCGACGGCATCAGCCAGATGTGACCCGCCTATAATATGCGGCATCCAGACTCAGCCAAGTTCATTCTGAAATCACGACTCTCTTGAGTGACCCATCCGCCTCAGTCCACCGTGTTACAACTCTGCTAATTTCTCTCTTTCGCCCTCTTAGACAACGCAGCCTCCGAGAATTGCTTATCATTCTTCTCGACGTCCCTCTCGACGGCTTCTGTGACCACCAATTCCCTTCGTTACTTCAACTCGGAGACCGACTTTCCGCTATTATCATGGATTATACCATGTCAATTGGATCATACGACGACAGCTCCCTGCGGGATTCGTCGATGAAGGACGGCAATTCGCCATCAGCAGCAGCCGGTGCGTCTCCCTTCTCGCGACAACCGTGCTACACCCCAGCCTCGCAGCAAAGATCGTCGCCTCCCGCGTGTCCGCAAGCTCCGCGGGTGTCAGGCCGCTGCCACAAGAGACCCATGGAGCCTTCGGAAAACCTTCGACGTCTCTTCCGGCCAATCAACTTCGACGGGATCACGTCTTCGTGAAGAAATAAAAGGCTACAAGATCGTCATCACCCCGGATGCCATGACGGATTTCGGTTTCAACAGATTCCTCTTAAGGAGGAACCTGGTTGGATGGATGGTTCCCCGGCAATCAGGAGCTCAAAATGGGCTTTTGAAAAATACTGGCTCTCTGGATCAAGCTCCAAGGCAGATTGTTTACAGCGCGACTTCCAGCATCCAGCATCCGATCCAGCTGGAATTCTACTCTATTCTGCCTTGGCTTGAGAAGTAGAGCAGATCATGTAGCATGTGGCACCAAGATGTACCATAGTTGCCTAATGCATCCAACCAAGAAGAATCAAGCTCTCTAGCGCTGTATCAACTTTACACAATGTACAGGGCACTGACTGTACACAGCTAGAAGAACAGTACGCACTAACCAAAGTTGTTGAACACCTTCTTACACAGGTGATCACCATAGACCACTGGCCCCAGACCAGTCGGCCCCATGGTCTTCACCAGAGCATTTAATGGCTCCACCCTGACATCAAAGTTAGGCTGTGGAAGCAGACAGCAATAGCAGCAGGCAAAGCCATCAGACGAAGGGAAAGATGAAGGCCAATCCAGGCCAAAACGCCACTCCAGGCGATCAAGCTGGTGCCAGGGTAAAGGTGTGGGAGGGAAGGGATATGAACAGCATTTTGCATACCTAGTATCACAAAGCCCATGGTCTCCCGGCTTACCTAGTAGAAGATCGGATCATCCTCCAACTTCCTTCATAGAAAAACGGATCTCCCAACTTACCTCTTAGGCAAACGGATTCCCAAGAGTTACATCATAGACACATGAATCTCTCTGTACTTACCTCATAGGCAAACGGATTACGTCATAGACAAACGGGATCTCTCAACTTACCTCATCAGAAAACGGATCTCCCAACGTACCTCATAGGAAAACGATCTCCCAACTTACCTGGTAGGATAAAATATCTCCCAACTTACCTCTTAATATAACAAATCTCCCAATCACAGGAAAACGGATTGTGCGGATTTCCCAACTTACCTCATAGAAGAAAGGAACAGAGACTCGGAATGTACGGCTTCTGTTGACAACCCGATGGGGAGTTGGTTGGTAAAGACCGTTGGTCCACAGCTGCCAGGGCGAAATGGGGTCAGCATGGATTAATGATGTCGAAGGTAAAAAAAACATTCAGGCGGCACCTCAAAAAAAGGAGGCAAGGTTTGATTATTTGTTGGGGCATCTGAAAGAGGCGACTTTTGAGTTGACTCAAAAGTCACGAGCTGACTCAACAGTCACCTCATTACAATGTCACAAGACACGTTTTCGAATAAGCAGGAGGAGGAACATGAGTGCACATGCGGTACCTTCAGCATGTCGCCAATGTTGACCACGAAGCTTCCTGGAACCGGAGGAGCATCCACCCACTCGCCTGCCTTGTTCTTAACCTGCATGGTTAGACGAGGGGGGAGGGGGGGGGGGAGGGGGGGGGCGGGTGGGGGAAACAGGGAGGGGGAAACATGGGTGAGGAAGACTCTACTTTTTCTGCCAAAGCAAAATAGCTGGAAGACACAAAGTGGCAAATAGCGCAACCAACCCAATGTCAGGTCCATTCTCTCTGACACCAATATTCCTCTCCCTTACTTGAAAAGCGCCCCCACACCATGCACATAAGAAGACTGTACCTGCAGAGCTGTAATGCCAGGGTCTTGATTCACAAAGGTGAGCAGACCTGCAGGACCGGAAGGTAGGAACGTGAGGCCAAGATAAAGAGGAATCTTCATTTGAGGCGCCTCAAAAATTGTTTCACAAAAGTGAGAACGGGAGGCCTAGATAGAGAGGAATCTTTATTTGAGGAGCCTCGGAATTTGATTCACACAAGTGAGCAGGCCTGCACAACAGGCAGAGTAGGGACGTTAGGCCAAGATAGAGAGGGAACAGGGGGAGGGCAGAGAGGTTGCAAGGGGGGGAGAGGGGAGAGGGGAAGTAGACAGCAGGCAGAACAAGAGTATTATCCCACAGCAGATGGGGAGGCTTACCGTAATCCGTGTGTTCGCCACTGGGGTGATTGCAGCAAAGGGTGGCAATATGCAGGAGACGGGGGGGAATGAAGGGCAGGGAAAGGCAAACAGTGGGGAGGGCAAAGGGGGGGACAAAGGGGAGGGCAAACGGGGAGGGCAAAGGGGAGGACAAAGGGGAGGACAAAGGGGAGGAGGGTTACAGAACATGTTAACGGACAAGAAAAAAACTCGTGTGATTATCAAACAAGTAAGGAGTCAGAGTGCTCATGAGAAACGCTACTGCACCCATCCATCTGTCACTTAGGACGCGCTACATTGCGTCCAGTTCTCCGATCATTTTCCGATCTTGGCACTGTAGAAAGCTGGTAACCCGACAACTACAGTGGCCTCCAAATAGTCATGTAGCAGATCGGAGGGCATGATCACTTTCGAAGCAAAACCGGGAATCAATCGCACGTCCAAAACACTAACGATCCTCCTCGACCAAGTCCCAGATCGCCTCACCCCAAATGCCACGAAATCATAAGCGCTTCGCCAACTCGCCATTGCGAAAAATGTTGGGTGGACTCGAGTCGCGGTGTAAAGTATGTTGGAAATTGCGAATGTCCTGGGAGGGTTGCTGGGTTTTCACGAAGTGTTCTGCGAATGCTATGCTATCCAGCTGCAAATCGATACTCTAGATCGGAAGTTGCAAATCTGGGACATGGCTATGTCGCGTACGTGGTCGATATTGCAGATCGTTTTTACTGAGACAAAATCGATATCTTAAAAAAACAGACAATCATTTTTTTTTATGCGATCCTCCAAAACGGACGCAATGTAGCGCGCCCTAAACCATCACGATCAACCAACGGAGTGCCACATACCAATTGAGGGAATCTGTGCAGGTCGGGACAAGAGAAGGACTGCGACCCAAATGATCCAAAAAGGGGGATTGGATCCTAAATGATCCCAAATGATCCCAAAATGATCCCAAATGATCCCAAAATGATCCCAAATGATCCCAAACGATCCAAACGGACCGATTGGATCCCAAATGATCCCAAATGATCCAAACGGAACCGTCCACTGAATCAGACAACTCAGACAGCTCATGTGGAATCAAATCTCTCCACCACGTATTCACAACCATATGCACTTCTACATGCACCGATCTCACATATTGAAAATCGTCGCACTCACTGGCTGAGGGATTTTCTGCATCGCTTCCAGCACAGGAAGGATAACCAGCGTCTCGAATGACCCAGGAGGAATCATGTCGCGAGGTGTCTCGTCTCCAAACCCCGAGCCCCACACCAGAAACCCTCGACCCATACAAACGCTTCACTCACCAGCTGAGGGATTCTGTGTCGCTAGCAGCAAGTGGGGGGGGGGGTAATCCAATAAAATAACTGGAATGACCCAGAAGGGATCGAGTTCTAAGAAGTCTCAGAACTCACCAGCTGAGGGACTCTGTGTCGCTGGAAGCAAGGGGAGGGTATCCAATAACTCGGATGACCCAGAAGGGGTCATCCGCCCGGCCGTGCTCGAAGGTGTCAAGTGGGAGGTGTAGGCCCATGGCCATGCCTCGTAGCACAGTGCGACCCAGACCTGGGGGGAGAGAGGGTGTCAGAGCAGCACCGGTGAGGGGGAAACAATGGGGAGAAGGGGAAAGTATTTTTGAGGCGCCTCAACAATGGGGAGAAGGGGAAATCACTAGATGCATCCCAAGGTGTCGAGCAACGGGTGCAGGCCCATGGCCATGCCTCATAGCACAGTGCGACCCAGGGCTGTGCCAGAGGAGTCTATTTTTGAGGCGCCTCAAAAATAGACTTCTGTGCCATTGGGGAACTGAGAAGCAGCAGGGAGAAGGGACAGAAGAGAGAGAGAGAGAGAGGGGGGGGTGGGGGCGGGGGGAGGGGGTAGGTGCAGGCCCATGGCCATGCCTCGTAGCACATTGCGACCCAGGGCTGCGATAGGGAGAGTAAGTCAGAGACGCAGTGCGAAGGGGGAGGGGGGGGGGGTAGGGGAACGGACTGGCTGTGATCTGAGGTGTCGAGCAGGAGGTGCAGGTGCAGGCCCATGGCCATGTCTCGCAGCACAGTGCGACCCAGGGCTTCTTTTGAGTTGGCTGAAAACCAGAGCTGAGGGAAGGAGGAGAGGGAAACAGCTGGGCAGAGAGGTGTGTACTGAGGCGAATATTCTCGAGGTGCCTCAAAAATAGACTCCTCACGCATGCTTTTTGAGGCGCCTCAAACAACAGGAAAGAGATGGGCAGGGAGGTGTGCAGTGCATTGAGGAGAGGAGAAATAAGCAGTGAAGTTTACCTTCCGTAGCCGACACGTCACACATTGCTACCTTCTATGGCAGTCCCATATGCTAACCTTTCATTGTAGTCACATATTCCTGCACAACTGGCTTGAAACGTTCTGGTCTGCTGGGCCTGCAATACAGGGAGCCAAGGAGCCAGCAGCAGCACAAAAGCTTCAGCATGAGTAAATCAGCCATGGGGGAAACAACAACCAGACCAGTACACAGGACCTACGGCACCTGCACACACCTTTGCTTTACAACAAAGCGGCACCGTTTCTTGCTGATCGAGTGCAAGAGGTTTACGAAAAAATCGGGGGAAATTAAGGTGTTACCATGGGTTGGGAGATTTGTTAGTAGTCTCAAAAATCTCTCACAACGGAAACTAAGGCTGCTACGATGGGTTGAGACAGTGAAGAGGCTTCCCGGAAAGAACATCGGGATGATCTGCTGAATGTGATGTGATCTTTTGAGTCGACTCAAAAGCAGAGAACACCACTTGGTGGTGGTTTTAGCCATACGTGGCAGCGGGCTGTAAAACACTTATGTTTAGTAGATAAAATTCTTGCTCAGAAAAACTCTCTTGAATTCGTAGGGCAAAAAGATGATCTGCTGCATGTGATGTGATCTTTTGAGTCGACTCAAAAGCAGATCTGCTGCATGTGATGTGATCTTTTGAGTCGACTCAAAACCACATCTGCTGCATGTGATGTGATTCATGCGGTGCTTATACCATTACGATGCGTGCATGCATGCTGGTGAGGTGATTCATGAGCTCGTGGTAATGCGTGCATTCATGCTGGTGTGGTGAGGTGCATACCATGGGTTGCATACCATGAGGTGCAACATGAGGTACATAACATGAGGTGCAACATGAGGTGCATACCATGAGGTGCAACATGAGGTGCAACATGAGGTGCATACCATGAGGTGCAACATGAGGTGCAACATGAGGTGCATACCATGAGGTGCAACATGAGGTGCAACATGAGGTGCATACCATGAGGTGCAACATGAGGTGCAACATGAGGTGCATACCATGAGGTGCAACATGAGGTGCAACATGAGGTGCATACCATGAGGTGCAACATGAGGTGCAACATGAGGTGCAACATGAGGTGCAACATGAGGTGCAACATGAGGTGCAACATGAGGTGCAACATGAGGAGCAACATGAGGTGCATACCATGAGGTGCAACATGAGGTGCAACATGAGGAGCAACATGAGGTGCATACCATGAGGTGCAACATGAGGTGCAACATGAGGTGCATACCATGAGGTGCAACATGAGGTGCATACCATGAGGTGCAACATGAGGTGCATACCATGGGTTGGGACCGTGAAGAGGCTTCCCAGAAAGAACATCGGGATGATCTGCTGGATGCTCCCTGTAGAGCTGGTGAGCGAGGGATGAAGTAGGACGCAGCCCACATACAAACACGCATGCACGCACGCATGCACGCGAGCATGAAGACACATACACACACACACACACACACACACACACACACACACACACACACACACACACACACACACACACACAAAGAAAAAAAGTGGGGTGATGCGAGTGTGCTTCAGCAAAAAACGTAACGGGAGATTTTTAGCTTAGGGAAGGCAAAAGGGATGCTCGAAAGCCTACGCTCACATCAATGGCTTCGTGCATGTCGCGTTATGGGGCGCCATAAAAGTAGCGCCTAACACGCGGATTCTAAGGCGCCTGAAAAAAGCCTATGCTCACATCAATGGCTTCGTGCATGTCGTGCCGACCCTGAGTGATGTTCTCGCCAAGCCTCTGGTAACCCCTGCACGTGATGTGGCAATGTGATGTGTTGGCAGTTGTGATGGGGCACATATGCACGCATGCATGCACGCAAACGCATAACGGAATGCAAGGGGCACTATCTGCTTTTGAGTCGACTCAAAAGCAAATGAGGGGGCACATATGCACGCCAAGCATCTGGTAACCCCTGCAAGCGAAAAACGAACGAAGCACAACATTTGTTTGCTGGCAAGTGTCAGACCCCCCCCTCTCTTCCTCCCTTCCCCCTCTCTTCTCTCTCTCCCCCCCCCCTCCCTCCTCACATAGCAACAAAGCATAACACTAGCCAGTGTAGAGAGAGCTCAAACGAACAGTCTCTTCTCAGCTAGCTGGAATATTTGCTTCCTACCTGAATATCGGAGACTTGGAAAGGGCGATCTCGTTCTTATTCTCCTCTGGAAGTGCAAAGAACTCTCTCCCCGCCTCACGGACACTGTCCATCAGCTGCTGAGGAACGCCATGGCCAGTCTGCCACGTGATGTATGGATACAGGGGACAGCACACATACAGCCGAAACAAGTGCATTTTGAGTCGACTCAAAATGCACCCAGCAACGCCATGGCCAGTCTGCTACGTGATGTATGGATACAAGGGACAGCACACATATGGCCGAAACAAGCGAGGAGCTCCTTTCCCCCTCACTGGTATCGCACCAAATAGAAGAAGCTGACTTCCCCGAAAACCGCATCAAGTTCTGATGCAACCCGCCTGATTCTGAGGCAACCCGCCTGACGTTGTTGGGAAGCGGAGCCTCGCATCCAAATAACTTCTGGATTGCTTGCTCTAGATGTGTAGTTTTGAGGCGCCTAAAAACCGCGTGATAGGAATCTAGTTTTGAGGCGCCTCAAAACAACAAACCTCTGGATAGCTTGCTCTACATGTGAGGTTCTTGCTCTTACAGCAGGTGCTGCGTTTGAGTCGACTCAAAAGCAGACTCTTACAGCAAGTGCTGCGCCAGGTAAAATAGCAAAGCACGTACCAGATAGAAGAAGCCGACTTCCCGGCAAGCAGCGTCGATCTCTGAGGCAACCCTTCTGACGTCGCTGGGGGGCGAGCTCTCTGGTGAGGCTGCGTTCAGGCTCAGGCTGGAGCAGAACTCAACTAGGGGAGAAATATCTGCCGCGGAACGACACAGATAGAAGGAAGGTTCAAAACGCCTAACACGACACTTAGGGCAAGAAGCAGCTGGGGAGCAACGATAAGATATCCTCATGCGCTGGAGCAGCGATTACACATCCTCATGCGCTGACAGTAAGACACAGACTAGCGGCATTCGGTTCACGGAAACGATAATAAATCCGCATGCGTTATTGCATGTAAGGGATACAGCGGACGTGCTATCGTAAGAAAAAGGTCCGCAGATGTACCGATTTTCGGAAGCTCCTGAAAACTGCCAGCCAGGACGTCCTGATTCGCTTTTCGAGTCGACTCAAAAGCAAATACAGCGGACGTGATATCGCGAGAGGGAGGTTCGTACCGATCTTCGGAAGCTCCTGAAAAGTGCCAGCTAGGACGTCCTGATTCGCGACCACGGGCAAAATTCCGAGCTTCCCTCTGTGCATCGAGGTTTTCTGACGCGCCTCCAAAGCTCTGAGCTTCCTTCGGTAAGTCGCGGTTCCCATGAAACAGCAAGCTTTTCGTTGGGAGAAATCTTTTAGCGCAGCGCCATTGGTGCGACATCCGCTCCATGGTAAGGAGCTATGGCGGACGGATGACAAGAAATAGGTCGCCGCCATCCTAATTCGAAAAGAACGCTGAAGACGAAAAACGGCGAAGGCAGGGAGAGATGGAAGCCAGCTTCACATAAAACCTACTTCTTGTTCTACAAACGCTGTCTCCTCGGAATCCCTCCTAGGCCTACAAACAGGGAAGGTCGTCCATCGCTGGTTCCGCTATGCATTCTAGGAGCCACTGTTGAAAATGTAGAAGGCACATTCTGGTTACCATAACGGAGCACAACGAAAGCGACCCTGGCCACGAAAGAAATTGGCGACACCATTATCAAAGGTGTCATCGTGTTACTATGTATTCCAAGACAGACTACGCCATTTCGCGACATCTTGATCTGGTTCCTCGAGTACGAACGCTGCGAAGTGCTGCGAGCCAGTTTGCGCGAATCTTGTCAGCCAATAACACACCACGACCAGCTTGCATCCAGGCTGTCAGAGACGTCTCCAGGCGACTCGGCACTTTTGGTTCACCTCGGCAACAACAATGGTCCTGTCAGAGTATCCACGCAACTACGCGCCAATCGCCGCGAGCCCTGCCTGCCTCAGGGCTGCCTTCCGAAATCCCCTTGAAACTGTCTTGAAACCTGAAACCCATCTATAAGCCGATCAAAACGTTTAGAACGCCCACAAACTGACGGAACCATACTACTGTAGAGCCAACTCCTGAGAGTCTTAGATTCTCTTCCTTGCATAAGCTACAGTAATCTGGGAAGCTGACAACTCAACAACTTCCGACCTAATCTGGCCTATCCTGTCCTGTCCTAACCTGTCCTGTCCTAACCTGTCCTGGTCTCTCCCCTCTTCCTGACTCCTGCCTCTTACTTGCTCACAGGCTCTTGCTGCGCACATCCCATAATTACTTACTGCTGTCTTCTGCGAGGTGGAATAGAACCAGCTTAGGTAGAGCCCATGTACTAGGATTCGGTTCAGCACTAGGTGATCTAAAGCACGCACGCTGCTCTTTGCTCGACGTGCCTGTGCAAAGATAAAGGCGATGGTCGTTTCTTCGGACAAGCATTCAGGCTTTAAGTTTATATTCGCGAAGGGGAGTCTGCGCCCTGGTCAAACCAAGCTCAATGACCGCTGCGGAATCGCGTTCCAGTTTCTTTCGTCACAAGCGTACCGCGTGCTATCCGCCTTCGCTATACTCGCATTCCTCACAGCCACTGCTTTCGTCACGTACAGCAGCCAAAGCATCTATACAATAAGCGTTAACACTACCATCGCGAGCCGCAGTAGTACGCGATATAAGGAAAATGCGACGGCGACTCACCTCGACTCAGATCGCGACGTAAAAAACCCGTTAAAAGATTCCTCGAGGGATCGTGTAGTCTGCTGGTGGTCCGGCGCTCATGGCGGTTATTCGGGACTGGAGGAATCTATTGCTGACGCGCCACAGACACGTGTCAGTTACACAGGGCCGGAGAGATCCGCCGCAGAGGGGTCCACAATAGAGAAGAGGAGGAAGGGGGGTGTGATTGTATCGGGGTCTGGTTGCGCTTGGTGTTCGGTGGGGGAGCTCTGCGCGTTTGACATCGACATAAGAACACCCGCGCGATGGGATGTGACTCCACCGCCCGATATAGGCGACGTGATGCGCGGCGCGACGGCGAAGCTCACCGTCAACGTGGACAGATCCAGGAGCACGAACTCCAGCGGAAATCGCGGCGGAAACGACGCTGGTAATCACGCCGCGAATGGCGGCGGAAGTGACGCTGAGAACGGCGGATGGAGCGGAAGCGGAGGCGGAAGCGGCGGAAGCGGAAGCGAAAGCGGAAGGGAGATGGGGGTGGGTGACTATAGGGAGTCTCTGGTAGTGCGTCTGGTGGGGCCAGCGTTAGCAGCAGCGGATGTGACTAAAGAGGGGGGTGACGTGCGGAAGTGGAGAGTCACTTACCGAGTGTGGGACGCAGGGAATTACAGCGTGCTGCTCCTCTCAGAATGCGGTAACCTGGACTTCACCCGGAACAGCACTGAACGCGCCCTAGGCACAGTGGCTGAATGGACCCTCACTGTGCTCAACGCCACTGGCAGTGCCACCAGTAGCGCCACTGGTAGTGTTTTCCCACAGAGCTCGAGCCAAGGCCCCCCAGAGAAGGAGAATTCAGTCGGACTGGTTACCTCTAGAAGGATTCTATACTCTGATTCAGAACCTTCTGCAGGTGAAGACCAAGCAGCCGACCAACCCGCTGACCAACCCACCGACCAACCCGCCGACCAACCCGCCGACCAACCCGCTGACCAACCCACCGACCAACCCGCCGACCAACCCGCCGACCAACCCGCTGACCAACCCACCGACCAACCCGCCGACCAACCCGCCGACCAACCCGCTGACCAACCCGACTCACACCTGGAAGCACATCTAGCCGATAATACCGGCACTGAGTCCCGCAACAGTGAATTCAACAGCGAATCCCTCAAGACTGAATCGCCAGGAGATGACTATACCGAATACCAGGACACCCCATGCGACCATTCCGCCTACGGCCGGTGGCTCTTCGACCCCTCAAAGGGCAAGTACACGTGGCAGCTGTACCCGTGCGCGCGCCCCCTCCCCCCGCCGTCTGACTGGCTTGCCGCTCTGCAGTCCCGAGGCATTTACGAGATCAACATTGTAGGGGACTCGCACCAGCGGTTTCTGTTCAACCACCTCTTCTTCCTGCTCACAGGGCGAGCGCACTCCTCCCATGCGAAAGTGCATAATAATCTCATGCGTGTCGTCATGCCCGCTCCCCCTCCCGCTCCGCCTCCTCCTCCTGCTCCTTCCACTCCTGCTCCTGCTTCCTCTCCGGCTCGTCCTACGGCATCTGCAGCTCTTGTTTCGGGAGCCGTTTCTCCCACCCTTCCTGCCCTCCCTCTTCTTTCTTTTGCGGCATCACCTGCTGCTGCTGCTGCTGCTGCTGCTGCTGGCGATGGGGCATCAGGTGGTAACAGCAGCAGCCAGCCTGGAGAGCTGCGGCCTCTGAAGCTCCACTTCTATTGGATCGCAGGCATCTATGACATGGGGAGATTCGGATGCAAGTATGCGCAGCTTGCTCAAATGTGCTAGGTAGAATGATTATGCTGCTGTGTAATGAGTCTATTTTGGAGTCGACTAAAAAATAGACTCATTACACACAAATCGGCTACATAGACGGATTGTGTTGCTGGCTTAGATGGTAGAAACGCGTGAGCTGGTGATTTTGTAGTCCACTTTAAAGTTGATTTTTGAGTCGACTCAAAAGGTGAATTTTGAGTCGACTCAAACATAACCTATGACATGGAAAAGATCGGATGCAAGTACGTGCAGCTTCCTCAAGTGTGGTGCCTAGTCAGATTGTTTTGCTGCCTTTGCTGGTAAAAACGTATGAGGCAGGTTGCGTCTGCCTCTCGTTCTTTTATCGTGATTGTATACCGTGTCCTCTGTTCCTCCCCTGTTTCGGGACATGCGTTTAATAAAACCTTCTCCCCCCCCCCCCTTGCCGTGCTTGCAGGAAGAAGTTGCCGAATCAAGGCTGGCTGTTCCCCACCGTCTCAGCTTTTGATTCGACTGAAAAGCTCTCTTCCGCCCCTGTTTTGGTACATGCGTTCAATCAAACCTCCTCATCTCCCTCACCCTGCTGGCAGGAAGAAGTTGTGGAATCAAGGCCGGCCGTTCCCCACCATCTCACCAGCAGCAGACGTCACCATCATCGACAGTGGCACATGGACCCATGGCTTCTGCGATGCTCCTGAAAATGCATTCGGGTTCTATCTCCCGAGGTTCTTACACTGGGCTTATCGGCAAATGCTGGCGGCTCGAAAGCATAAGCAGCAGAAGGGTCAGCACGGCCAGCAGGGGCTGCAGGGCCAGCAGGGGCAGCTGAAACAGCAGCAGCAGCAGCAGCAGCAGCAGCAACAGCCGCAGCAGCTGCAGAAGTGGCAGCAGCAGAAGCAGCAGCAGCAGCTGCTGCAGAAGCCCCAGCAGCAGAAGCTGCAACTGAAGCAGCAGCAGCTGCAGAAGAAGCAGCAGCAGTGGAAACAGCAGCAGCGGAGGCATCTGCAGCAGAAGCAACATCTGCAGGCAGTTGCACTAAGCAGCAATGATACTGAAACCCAAGGTACAGCATCCGAAGCAGGTGGTAACAATAGCTCCAGAGGGCCATGGTTTCTCTATCGGACCATCCCTCCGTTACGGCGGAACAACTTCTGTCGTTACGGGTCAAACAGTCTAGTCGCACATTTGAACAATGTGGGGGTTGCTCATTTGGCAAGGTATGGAGTTGGGCTGTTAGACGGGCGGCATGTAGAGATGCCGAAGATGGAAGACTCGTGCAGTGAAAGAGATAACCACTATAGTTGCTTTAGATTCCGCGGTGCCATGGGGAAGGGGCATGGGATTTATGAAGGTGATGTAGGAGAGGCCATGGTGTACATGACGATGTACCATCTATTATATTTATTAAATTGATGGTGTAATTTTGTGTTCTCAACGGATATCTTCGATACAGTATCATACGCGCTGATTCTTCCGAGTGCTGTTTTCGATACTGTATTCTCCTGGCCTAGGACATTTTTTTTCTCAATTCTGCATTACAGTATCCTTTTTCAGCCTGATTCCGAATCCTGATCTCTCGCCGCCATTTCCCTCGCATCCCAGCCTAACTTCCAAGTTCCAACCAGCAACTCCGGACCAGTCTGTGTCTTTCGCGATACCCCCTCCTACGAAGTACATTTTATTTTCAACGGGCGATGCGACGCTGAATAGCAGCGGAAATGGCGCCGTCAAATTCGCTTCACTCGCCGTCACCCGCGGCGCTATCGTTTCTGAACTCTCACTTTCAGCGGCTCGATGACCTCTCGCTCGCGCCGAACCTCCTGAGAAATCTCTCATCGGAGATTAAAGACCTAATTTCTCGCAAAGAGGATCTCTGCTCGTCTCTCGCCTCGTCATTGCAGCCTGCAGAAGGCGACAACGCCCGAACCAGCAGCTCCAGGCTTGGATCCGAGCCTGAGGCTGGTCCGGATGTTTCAGACACCATTTCATCCGTGGCTAATCGCGCGCTCCAATCCATAGCAGCCACGTCAGAGCGAATCGAAGAATGCCACTTGCGCGCCTCCGTGGTGGCTGCTGACGTGCAGCCGATGGTGGATCGGCTTGCCAGGCTGGCAGCTGAGGTGGCGAGATGCGAGAGGGTGAGGGGATACGTGGAAGTGGTTCTAGGGTTTGAGCGGCAGGTGGGGGAGGCGGAGGAGAAGGTAGGATTAGGTGTGGGATTATGGAGGAAAGAAATGGGCTCTGCTGCTGCTTCCGCTGCCTCTGCTGCTGCTTCCGCTGCCTCTGCTGCGGCTCTTTCTGCTCCTCCTGCTGCTGCTGCTGCTGCTGCTGCTGCTGCTGCTGCTGCCCCTGGTACTTCCGCTGGTGCAAGTGCTGCTGGCCTCAGTTCCGGGAAGCAACCGTTTCGAAACCCTAAGCTCCTCTCCTCCCTCCGTACCGCCTCTCACGCCATTCTCACCGCTTCCAACCGCTCCTCCTCCACCTCGATCCACCACCCCTCCTGGTCCCGCCTGCTGACAGCTGTCGACCAGCGATTGGACTCGGCAACTGCCGCCCTGGTGGGCCCTCTGTTGGAGTGCTACAGGGGATGCCTTGCTGCTGCCGGCTGGCCGCCTCCCCTCAGGAGAGGAGGGGGAGGAGGAGGGGGAGGTGGGGGAGGAGCAGGAGGAGGAGGGGAAGTAGGAGGAGCCAACGCTCCTGCGGCTGCTGCTGGATGTTCGGCACTGGACCGGCTTGCCGGACCTGAAGGCGAGCTTCGGGTGGAATTCACGAGCCTGTTCATGGCTCTGTGCTCTCTCCAGCATGCTCAGAAGGTTAGACGAGCGGCAGAGCAGGTGCGGCTTCAAAGAGAGAGAGGGTTTGCTTATATGGAGGATGGAGAGGAGGAGGAAGAGAGTGGAACGGAGGAGGAGGCAGAAGAAGCGGATAGTGCTTATATGGAGGATGGTAATATGAGCTTTGTTTTGGGTTCGGGCTTGCCTGCTGGCGACCTAGGGACTATCCAGAACCTAGGGAATATCCAGGTTGAAGAGGCACTATTATGGGGGATGGAGGAGTTGGTCCAGCCAATAGCATCGCAAGCCCGCCCCCCCTTCGACCAATGGGGGGCGAGCGGGCGGCCGGAGTGGGCGTTTGCGCTGACCCTCCGGGTGGCGTTGACTGGCGTTGACTCGTTTGACCTGGCGCTACAGCCACTGGTAGACGAGGAGGGGCTCAGGGGGGTGAGTATGAGGGAGGGGTGGGTTCGGGCCGTGGTTCGGATGCTGCCGATCCACTTCCTGCGGAGGTCCGTTGTGCCGAACCTGGCAGGGAAGCTTCTGGGAAGCGCAGGGGTAGAGGGAGGAGGGGGAGGTGGGGGAAGGGGAGCAGGGGGGGGGAGAGGAGGGGTATGGGGAGGAAGGGGAGGAGGGGGAGGAGGGGGAGGAGGGCGGAATGCAGGGAGTGGGGTGGGGAGAGATGGTGGGGATTGGGAGGGGGATGAGGAATGGGAGGAGGAGGTGAGTGGGAGTGAGGGGAAAGCAGCAGCAGCGATGGAGTGGCTTCGGGTGGTGAGTGAATGCATCGCCTTTGATTCGGCCATGTCTCGCCTTCTAGTCTTTGGTTCAACTGCTGCTTCTGCTGCTGCTGGTGCTGGTGCTGGTTCTGGCGCCTTTGCTGCTGGTGTTGTTGATGCTGCTGGTGCTGGCACTGGTGCTGGTGAGAATTCTAGTGGCAATGCTGCAAGCATATCAGATCTCCCGCCGTCCGCGTCGGATTTCTGGGCGGCGCTGCAAGTGGAGCCGACAGTGGGGGTGTTTGCGGAGCGACCTGATTGGTTGCTGCTCTGGATCCAATTGGAGCGCACCAGCTCATGCAGGAAGGTCCTAGCTGTCATGGGTAGTGACGCTTCCTGGAAGGTTCCACGGGATGGGGAGGATGAGGCAAGCATGGGTCTTCAGGAACTATCTTCTTTTGGGTTGCTGAAAGCTACAGGTGCGAAGTCTAGAGCTTCAGGTGCTGATATTTCTGCTACAGCTGCAGCAGCAGGGGTGGTTGAGTTTCGACCGCCGCCCGTTGCTCTTCAGCTGGTTGAGATTCTCCGGGCGGCTGTCTCCCGATGTGGGCGGCTTTCCGGCACTGTAGCTAGCAGCGGGGACAGTAACGAGGGGAGCAGAATGATTACCAGCGCCAGGGCCATAGGCCGCGGGCGGCAGCGCTTGTCCTTTGTCGAGGGACTGTGCCGCCCGATTCTCTCGGTGTTTCTGAAAGAGACGGAGCAGCGAGCAGACGAGATAGAGGCAGCAGGAGCACTGGCTAGGGATGGGGATCTGGAGGAAATGGCGGGGTGCGCCAATGCTGCTAGGTTTGTGGCGCATGCGCTGGGGACGTGGCAGGATGAGGGGTTTTTGGTAGAGGCGTGGGAGGAGGGGCGGAGGGAGAGGAGGGCGAGGAGGCAGGGGAGAGAGAGGGGGGGAGAAGGAGAGGAGGGGAGAGAACGAGTTGCGGATGAGCAACAGCAGAGGAAGGAGAATCATCATCAGCAGCAGCAGCAGCAGGAGAAGCGGGTTGAAGTGGCAGGAAGGGGAGAGGAGGCAGGTGAAGAGGAAGAGGAGTCAGGGGGGGATGGATGGGACCTGATGGATGCTGAGGAGGTCGAGAGAGACGGGGTCCAACACGGCTCTGACCCACAACAGCAGCAGCAGCAGCAGGGGGAACAGCAGCAGCAGGAGCTGCTTCCCCGTAGTCAGGATCTACTAGACCAGTTCGAGGGCCCCGGTCCGGACCTCTTCTCCACCGAACTCCACCGCCTCGCATCCCTGCACTCCACCGTCGTCTCCAGGCTGGCGACAGCTGTCGCGCGCGGATTCGTCTCCCGTGCAGCCGAGTACCCGCGGGCCATAGTGCGCGTCCAGGCCCCCCCCCCTCCCCTTCCTCTTCCTCCTGCTCCGACAGGTGCTCCACACTCAGACTCTTTCTCCCTGTCCTCCTCTCTCTCCCTGTCCCCCGCCCTGGTCGATGCCCTCACCTGGCTGCGTCTGCGCTTGCTGTCCGCCCGGCACTCGCTCGACGCGACCCTCTTCTCCTCCCTCTGGCGCGCGCTTGCTGCTTTCCTGGACCGGTACCTTGTGGATAAGGTCGTGCTGGGACGAGATGTGACTATAGGCGTGGGGGTTACAGAGGTGGCAGGAGGGGGAGGAGGGGGGGGTTTAGGAGGGGTAGGAAGAGGGGCAGGAGGAGCAGGTGGAGGGGTGATTGGAGGGGCAAATGGTGGGACAGATGGAGCAGGCTTTCAAACCCCCTTGAACCTGAAGAAGAGTGCTGTTGGTGGGGCAAGCCTTGTGCTGGGCAGCTTGAAATTCTCGGAGCGTGCCGGGCAGCAGTTTTCTTATGATATGCAGGTGGTGATGTCTGTGTTTGAAATTGCCACCCCCCGCCCGCTCAACTTCTTCAAAAGGACGAGAGACGCCGCCCGGCTGATGGCTATGAGTGACAGGGATGCCAATGGGTTACTGTTCATGCTGTCTCTAGTCAGCGGGTCTGGGGCAACAGACTCATCACCATCATCCTCGTTATTAGCTTCTTCATCAACAAAGGCGATGGCATTCGCCAGTGCAGCCATGGGCGCTGCTGGGGCAGCAGTTGGTGCTGGTGGCAGGGCTGTCGGCATTGGCAGGGATTCAGGGATTGATAGCAATAATGACAGAGAACAGGAGCAGCAGCAGCAGCAGCAGCAGCAGCAGCAGGAGAAGGTGGAGGAGGAGGAGAGGCAGCAGAGGGCAGCTGCAGCGTTGAGGAGGAGAGGGATTTTGCATCTGCAGGCAAGGGAAGTGCAAGCTGTGCTTGAAAGGCGTGCTCTGCCAAGGAGATAGTGTGAGAGACACAGAACCGGAGCAGCGCAAAGGAGGAGACGCATTCTGCATTTGCAGGCAAGGGAAGTGCAAGCTGTTCTTGAGAGGCGTGCTCTGCCAAAGAGATAGCTGGTGGTGGAAATGGTTGGCACTTGAGAGCTTTGTTATGGGTAGCTGTGTTACCTTTGTTGGATTAGCAAATCTACTCAAGGTTTTGCGATGTCATCCACCGCAGCTTTTGATTGGTAGGCTGCTGCATGCAGTACCCGCACCATTGTGGGGTGGATCTCCATTTTCCGCCCATAAGGTCATTCAATGGTTTTCCTCAGGTGTAACGACCAGTGGGCAGGGTACAACAGGGCGCAAAATAGCATTTCCAAGGATATTACATATGATTATTCTTGTAACTTTGTGCATTGCTTCTGTATCCCCGTATTGGAGTGTAGTGATCGGTAACTAGTACGGCAATTTCGCAGCAAGGCCTTGTCCACTGACAGACGCATGCTGCATCCTATCCCGAGTCGCGATCAGTGCGGTTCGTCACTGGCACACCGCATCCTGCGGCGGAATTGCGCGGCTCCGCGAGACCGCGTCCTCAATTAACATTTTCTACCCGTTTTGCTCACGGCCCGGGCAACCCCGATCTCGGATAAATATTTTCTACGCGCGAGTCGGGAAATGCGTTTTTGATTACGTGAGGTCTTTTGGGCAGATTCGACCGTTTTTCGCCTTCCGCGTTTCTAACAGTTGAGAGTTGTAAAGGACCTGGCGGGGAAGTTGTCGCATGTCTGTATCGATTCCGCTGAAACAAGACGTACATTTCTGCACATGGATTCAAAGGCCATTTGGCAGGATGCAGTGTTCGTCACTTGGTTCAACTTCTAGCGGTACATGATGACGTGGCTGTACATTTATGGTAGTGGCGCGAATTGAGGTTACGGGTCGTGAGTTCTTGTGGTGGTGCACAAACTCTCATGTTTCCCTTGCCCGAAATGATGGCCCGAAATTATGACAGGGCTGTCAAAGTTCGCGTGGAGTTTAGCTAGTGGCGGAAGTTGAGCTTTGGGGCATGAGACTTCAGGAGAATCCATGAACTATCGTGTTTTCTCGCGTAAATCTCGTTTGCATCTGCCCAGATTCCACAGTGCCACGCCAGCGGCTTTCTGAGTAGGAATCGTATCTCCCCCTTGCAACACTGTTGAAGTGTGGCGGTACTGTTACGGATGACTGTCCAGTTGGCTGGTAATTCACGGGCAATCACTAAATCCCAAATACAGTTCACACAATTTCAAATTCCGTAACTTTCGCATTTCCCGACTCGCGTGTAGAAAATATTTATCCGAGATCGGGGTTGCCCTGGCCGTGAGCAAAACGGGTAGAAAATGTTAATTGAGGACGCGGTTTCGCGGAGCCGCGCAATTCCGCCGCATCCTGCGTTGCGCCCAGATTTGTGCACCGCAATTTGTGACATGACGCCACGAGCGGTGCATTTGGGGCATGGTGCAATGTTTTCCTTCCCCCACATCCAATCCTAATTCCAATTTCCACCTTGAGAGTTGTGTCCAGCGCGTACGTTTACAATTCAATTTATACGGTTCAATGTGTTTTTCGGTGGTCCAACGTGGTGATGTATAAAGACCGCTCCCGACCGCGATATAACCTACTGAACCGTGATATGAGTACAGTAACGCACGCGCTGGACACGCCCTGAAACCATTTCACCACCATCCAACGCAGCCCTAGAAGCATCGCCATAACCTCATCAACACACCAACATTCGCCCCATCCAGCAGAGGACAGCATGCGGCGCTCTCATGAGTCTTGTCCCTCCCGAGTCCCAAGTCCCGAGTGCTGCCGCCTGAGTCCCCTCCCGATTGATCCATCGCCTTGATCAGCGCCCCATCTCCCGAGGTGCCTGGCCGCCAGCAGACGCCCAGTCGTCAGTAGTGCCTCCTGGCAAGCCGCAATGGCTGCCATGGTGCTGCTGTTGGTCAAACCGAGGTGTGCTGTCACTGGTGTGCTGTCACTGGTGTGCTGTCACTGGTGTGCTGTTTCCAAGCGCCTGGCACGATCTCAGGTCCCTCTTGCGCGCACCTTGGGGGTATCTTCTTCCCGCCGATCATGGCACCTAGTGGCTACATACACACACACCCCTCTCTGTCTCCTTTTTGAGGCGCCTCAAAAATCACCAAGTGGCACACACACACACGCCTCTCCGTCTCCACGCGCCATAGAAGGCCTTACTGTTTCGCAAGGCATGCTCCATCTCAGGCACGAGCACTCTTTTCAGCGCCTTGCCGCTGTTTCCGCTGAGTCCTTTTCTTATGCCTGCGCTGACCGCGTTGGTCAAGACGCGACGACGGGGCTTTCACTGTGCAATCTTGTGGATGTCGAGTCGAGAATCGAGATGCATCAGCCAATCTTTTAGAGCGCATTCCTATCGATTGGTCGTTGGTCTCGGTGACTGATTTCGGTGCCGAAGGCGTTGGTACCCTCCTTTCCTGTACATCGCAAAAGCTAGCTGAAGGCAGGGATCGCTGTTTCCGTTTCAGAAGGTCTAGGTTTCGGAAGGTCTAGGTTCACTCCCCTTTAATAGTTCCCAACGGTTCCTGCGTTACAAAAGTAGCTTCAGTTTCGCGCAGCCTACCAGCGGCGAGTCCGCTCGGCGTTATCCTCCTCTTACCCCAACCGGCTAATTTTTTCGTAGCGCGTGCCTTGGCCAACTCTTTCCTGGCGAGCTTGTACTAGGGAGCGAGGAGCGATTTCCTCTCACGCGTTCTCTCGCCCTCCATCGATCGCTATGGCCCTTAGGGGAAGTAGACCGAAGCCGCCCGTAGTTAACAGGTTCTTACCCACGATACTCTCCCTCGCGATAGTCTCCTTGGTAATTTTTTCCGATATAGAGTCAGCACACGCAGGACGGTTTTTGACAGGGAAGGCGTTGGGCGGAGGAGGGGATGGGGCTAGAGGAGCGGGTGGCGATAGTGGCGGAGATGGAGTAAGTGGAGGGGATGAGGTCAGTGGATCGTCATTGCGTATTTTAGACGAGGTGCTTGTGACTAAGGGCGCTCCTGTTCTTGTATCGGTGCTCAACGATGACGAGAATAAGAAGGCCAAGGAGAAAAAGGCAAAGGAGAAGAAGGACAAGGAAAAGAAAGATAAGGAGAAAAAAGACAAGGAGAAGAAGGCCAAGGAAAAGAAGGCAGCTGTTGAAAAGGGCGCTGGTAAAGGGGACGCTGTTAACGGGGACGCTGTTAACGGGGACGCTGCTCAAAAAGATAGTAGCGAAAAGCCCAAGGCTGATTCAAAGGGGACCGAAGTGTCGCAGCCCAAGTCGCCAGACGTGTCGCAACCTACGTTGCAAGAGAGGCCAAGTTCGTCGTCGCCTGAGGGCGGATCGAAATCCGATGCTCCATCAGCAGGGAAACCGTCGCACAACGACGTACAGAAGGTCCCTAGCGAACAACCGCAGGAGTCGCAGGATAACTCGGAAAAACCAGCGGAGAACCCCGCGAAGTCGACCGCTCCCGAAACTGCGTCAGAAGCAAAGCCCGCCGCTGGTGTAGACGGCGACTCAGCGCCGAAACCGGCACCGGAACCGGCACCGGCACCTGAACCGGCAGCGGAACCGGAGCCGGCACCTAAACCGGCAGCGGAACCGGCGCCGGACTCCCCTGCGGGAGGAGAGTCAAAGCCAATCCCCGCTGTTGGCGGCGATTCCACGGCGAATCCAGATTCCGGTAAAGTTGGGGGAGGGGGAGAGGGAGGGGGAGAGGGATCAGGGGGGAATGGCGAGGAGGCTCCGCCGAACGAGGGGGGCGCGAGCCAGTCGGGCGACGAGGGCTCGACGGACGGCAAGGGGGTGCAGGAATGGAGCGGAGGGTCGAAAGACGACGGAAAAGGTGACGGAAAAGGTGACGGAAACGTTGACGGAAGCGATGACGGGGAGGAGGGGAACGGCGGAACGAAAACGGCAGGGTTCAAGATGAAAGACGATAAGCGCGCCGATTCCGTCAAGCCCCAGAAGGTCGACGATTGGTTCGGGATTCACCAGAGCTACAGTGACGAGGCGGGGGCGCTTAAGACGGCTGACGTCATCTTTTATGGCGACTCGCTGACTGAGGTATGTGGCATATACCACAGGTGAGGAGGATGCGACATGTGAGGAGGATGCGACATGTGAGGAGGATGCGACATGTGAGGAGGATGCCACATGTGAGGAGGATGCCACATGTGAGGAGG